ACAAACTGTATAGAGCCTGGTCAGACCACATAAATGAACAGGCTGGCCTGGCTCTATAAGGCTTATCACTTTTGCTTCCAGCAGGTAAAGGGTTAGTGGGTTAGGTTTAAAACTTGGATCATCAATAAATTAAAAAGAAAGGTGAGTATTTCTTATAGACAAGAGGCCAAGATGGCCATAGACCGACCGCTCAACTGAACCATCAAACTCATCCAAGCAATTTCCTAGACAAACATCCTGACAAAGTTTCATGACAGTTGTGTCGAAATTGTGACCTCTAGAGTGCTGACAAGGTGTTTCCATGTTTGAGCTATGTGACCTAGTTTTTGATCCCAGGTGGCCCATATTCAAATTTGACCTAGAAATAATCAAAACTAAGTTTCAGACCAATTTCCAGGATATTTGGATTAAAACAGTAGCCACTAGTGTGCGAACAAGATTTTTCTATTTGTAGCTCCTGTGAGTTCCAAGATGACCCATGTTCGAACTCATCCAAGCAATTACCTAAACAAGCATCCTGACCAAGTCTGATGCCAATTGAGTCAAAAATGTGACCACTAGGTTTTTCCATATTTGAATGGTGTGACCTAGTTTTTGACCCCAGGTGACCCATATTCAAACTTGACCTAGAAATCATCAAAACAAACTTTCAGACCAATTTTTAATTTTCAACTAAAATAATGTTTCAAGATGTTTCTACATTAAAGAGAAGAGGAGAGCAGTTTTCAAAAGGATGAAGATTTGGTAAGAATATATATTCAGTTTCAAGTCATTTTTTTACATATTTTCACCCTCTTTCATGAAGTCTAGTAATATTTTCTAATACAATGATTCCAGTCAATATCTAATAAATATTTATTTTTTCTATTTACAAATACATTTGTACCTACAACAATTATAAGTTAACAAATATCAACAAATACATATAATATGAGAGTTATGATGAAATGTTTGTTTTGTTGTCATAGCAACAATGACATGGATCTGTGAAATCCTGTCAAAAATGAACTGACAGACATAAAGATACTCATAAACAGGACAAATGTTTTTTTTTCCATCTAATCCAGGGGTAGAGTACAACTTGGTAAATTTATCGGTAATAAGCATAACTATGTCAATGCGCTCAGTTTTGGTTAAGTGCAGTATGTAGCAGATGGGCACTTAAGACTTAACCTAGTGTTGCATAATTGTATGCTGCTAGACTTGAGCTAAATCTCTCTTTATCATTATTCAAGACAATTAATGAAAGGGCAATGATTTCATCATGCAATCTTGTATTTTCAACAGATATTTATTCTAAAACTGCAATGGACCAGCTAAGAAACGGAAAATTTTGAAACAAATCAAACTTAAAGGAGCTCCACTGAGGTCTAAAGGCAACAAATTAAAATTTAAGAATCCTACATTGACCTGGGACATGTACCATTCATATTGCTTTTAATGTTAAAGGTCATTTTACACAATAAAATGATTATTCTGCAAGAACAGAGTGAGCAAATTAATGATCCAAAATTTTGCACACATTTTTATTGGTATAGACCTTCATCACACTGTATAAAAATCTTGAAAGAATAATTTTATTTAAATCCCATCATGTCAAAAAACCTAAGTGGGGTCCCTTAAAGAAAAAAACATTAGGAAGATTTAAAGAAATGTATATGGTGGGTAATGCCTGTTATTATCACCTAACTTATCACTCAATGAGAGAACAGAATAAGACAAATATACAGGAAGTATGATTATTATTTTGGCACAATAACATTAGAATAAGGCAGTTTAAGCAATACAATTTGTCATCTTGCAAAACAACCATATAAATTTATTTAAGTGCATAACTAGTTAATTAGGCTAATGATGTTGTTTTGTAATGATTAAAATTCATAAATTACATGTATATTAGTTTTTTAAATGCTCCGCATTGATATTCAGCCAACAGTATTAGTAACAAGAGCTGTCCGTAAGACAGCGCGCTCGACTTTTTTATTGCTTGCCAATAAAAAAAGTTTTTGCAGTAAAAGGCAATACAAGAATCTCTGTATTTTTAAAGTGAACAATGGCCATGAGCATTAAGATATTTAGTGAAGAATTATTAACCAAGATTCTAAGTCGATAAAAGGCCTTAATTTTTAAAACAAATCCTTGACAGAGTTACCTTCTCTTGCGTACAGATGGGGGTAATGATGTGAAATAGCATTAAAAGTTTCAAAGCAATATCTCAAAGGGTTAAGGCAATAAGTGGATTTTACCCATATTCAATGTATTTTCTAAGTCAAAAAGGGGCATAATTCTGTCAAAAACCTTGACAGAGTTATGTCCTCTTGTCTGTTGATGAAGGTCGTGATGGTAAACAAGTATGGTCAGTTTCAAAGCAATACCTCCAATGGTTTTGAAATAAAGTGAGGTGGTACAAAAAACTTAACCAAGCTCAATACACTTTCTAAGTCAAAAAAGGGCCATAATTCTGTCAAAAACATCCTTGACAGAGTTACCTTCTCTTGCGTACAGATGGGGGTAATGATGTGAAATAGCATTAAAAGTTTCAAAGCAATATCTCAAAGGGTTAAGGCAATAAGTGGATTTTACCCATATTCAATGTATTTTCTAAGTCAAAAAGGGGCATAATTCTGTCAAAAACCTTGACAGAGTTATGTCCTCTTGTCTGTTGATGAAGGTCGTGATGGTAAACAAGTATGGTCAGTTTCAAAGCAATACCTCCAATGGTTTTGAAATAAAGTGAGGTGGTACAAAAAACTTAACCAAGCTCAATACACTTTCTAAGTCAAAAAAGGGCCATAATTCTGTCAAAAACCTTGACAGAGTTATGTACTCTTGTCTGTAGATGGAGGTTATGATGGTGAACAAGTATGGTAAGTTTCAAAGCCATACTTGTAATACTTCTGAAATAAAGTGGGGTGGTACGAAAAACTTAACCAAGGTGTGACGCCGACGCCGACGCCGACGCCGGGGCGAGTAGGATAGCTCCCCTTTTCATAGAAAAGTCGAGCTAAAAAAAAGATTTTTTACATGTAATATGACCTTATATGAACAGTTGTTTGCAAAATAAGTGGCTTGAGATATATTGCAATCAACTGTTTACCTATGGTCATGAAACTTGGCAAAAAATTTTGTAAAGAATTTATAATGCAACAAACTTCCTTTATTTGGGGAAAAAATGAAATTACTTCATAAAATATCAGCAGCCATGTATATAGTTTATATAAACATCAGGAATATCCTATTAAAGTGATGTTACAAACTTGCAGTATTATAACCTCTATTACACAGTAAATCTTGGCATTATGATTAGCAAAAGGATGTGTGGGGCTTTTTTTTTAACTTCATTGTCAAATTTTTCGTTTCAGAATCAAAATGCGGTTTTCATGATTAGTGCTGCAAATGAATTGTCCTTTTCACCTTGTGCATGGTGATTACATAATTTTGGCGTTAATTAAATCAAATACAAATATCAGATTCTGAAACTTTTTGCAAACTCCTATAGATATTACAATTTGGTTCACACATCCAAACTTCAATCTGAGATTTAATAAAGAATGGATTAAGAAACATTCTCAAATTAATCTTGTTTAAAAAATTAAATCCTTGGGTCGATTGAGACATTTTCTATCAAAATAATTTTTTATGGAAAAAAAATCAAAATTAAAATAGTGACATTGCTTGTTGTTGACAAAACAAAGTTTCACTCTTTAGCCTGTCATACAATTTGTTCTATATGTACTTTCAATGCTAAATAAGAAAAACATTTTCTCTTTAACTGTAGACATGATTATAAAGTAAATAATTGAGTGATCAATAAATGACAAAAGCAGGCAGTTAAATTCCTTAGCATCATTGTAAAATTCATTATAAACCATTCTAATTTGCATAAAGCACCATTTAAATATATATAATAAGGTGCACAATGCCCCCCTTATCCTGAATGACATAAATGCGTGTAAAAATAAATAGAAAAAGTACCCCATCATCAAAAAATTGTATGTTCGATTAAATTGTTTTTCAAACGATATAGAATGCCAAAGATTTCTTCTTAATTGAAATACAAAAGGAGGTGTACAATCTGTTATGTGCATATAAAACAGACCGCATTTAATGATATAGAATATTTTGCGTACTTTAATATTGTAAAGGAGAAACCAAACCCCAAGGTTTACTTTCAAATCATTATAAACCTATTTAGAAACCATATATGTACAGTTTTTATGTGGTAAGAAAAATCATCTTCAAAAGAAAGATATTCTATAATCTCATGTTCAAAAATTATAACCAAATCAAATTTAAGAAACTTAGACTGAACTTCAAATTTAAAGTTTCATTATTGTCAGTAAGAAATTAAAAAACTTTAACCAGTCTAGTGAGTTAAGCTCCTCATTATCAATAAATGTTGCATGATTTCTAAAAAAGTTCAAAATCAAGAAAATGAGGAGACTGGTCTTAAAAATCAAGGAAATGAGGGAACTGGTCGTAAAATCAAAGAAATGAGGGAGGGAACTGGTTGTAAAATTCAAGGAAATGAGGGAACTGGTCTTATAAACCAAAGAAATGAGGGAACTGGTCTTATAAACCAAAGAAATGAGGGAACTGGTCATTAAAATGAAGGAAATTGGAGAACTGATCTTTAGCATAAAGGAAATTGGGGAGTTGATCTTTAAAATCATGAAAATGGGGAGACAGGCATTCAGCAACACTGACGCTGTAAAAATTTACTTTTTTCTCCCCTAACATTACTTTAGGATCAATTAAAGAATTTACACCTGAAGCTAAAATAAAAATCAGTAATAAAACTTGGCATTATAAGTAGTCTGTCTCATAAATTTTCAGTTAATTTAGAACAATAAAAAATATTCTTATTTCATATCTTTTGCATTGAAACAATTCCAATCCGGTAAAACCTATCCATACAATCAAGAATCACCCCGGCTTGACAAATGTATTTTAAATGACCATATACGTGATGAAAAAATATGTATAATATTTAATAATGATCAGACAGACCAGCCTAATAGTCTTTCATTTAATTGGCTATTTTTGAAAAATTATGTTGATCACCTTTTCCCATAAATCATTTCCTGAACCAGTGTACCTAAATGAGCTAAAGCTTTCAAAGAAATGTAACATGATTCAAATGAAAGTAATGCCTTGTATCTATTATAACTACAGTTTATTATATCTTCTCTAAATTCATACCAAACATATTTTATATCATATAATTTTATCCCTACTGTCTACCCCATGCATTCACATTTTCACCATCACAGATTAAAATAGGCATGTCAAGGTCACTGTTAAAAATGAGGTCAAAGGTCACAACAGCAGATATGAGAAATGTAATCTCATCATTTAAATTGATCCTTGAATCACATAAATTGTTCTACAACAGTTTTAAATACATTGTATATCACAGATAGTATCATAAATGCAATTATCCACTGAGGTCAAAGTTCATGATCAAAGGTCAACTTCACCTTATAAAAAGTTGAAGGTCATTCATCAGTGATATGTGTAATAATTGTCTCCCTCATCATAACCACCAAGAGTGTAACCATTACCCATGTAAGGTGAAGCGTATTCTGAAATATACATACATATAACCATATTTGTGAAGAAAAATGTAAATAAAAATTTGCCATGGAAACTGGTGTTTTGAAAAAAAAAGAACAAAAAAAGTGACAAGATGTCATCAAATTTATTTCATGTAATACCATGTTTACTGTTTCATTCATAGAAAAAACTCTATGTTCCTGCATCCAAGATCACAAGATAGGAATAAAACCATAATTTAACTGAATGTAAGACATTCTGAGAAAAAGCATGGACAATTGGAATTAAGATAGCATTTAGTCAATGGATGTTGAAATAAACTGTTAACAAATAAAAAAAAGAAATAAGAACAATCTTAGTTTAATGACTATCTCTGAATGTTTTATGTTGATAAATGTTAATTCTTGTATAGTCTTTGGAAGGAGCAAAGTAAGTCCTTTAACCAATAAAGAACAATTAAGACCATAATAAAATTGTTACCATTACATAACTTTAAAGTTACCGACAAGTTTTCAATGACTTCTCCTATTGTCAACTAAAACAAGGCAGAAGAAACAAACAACAGCTTCTCCTATTGTCAACTAAAAAAAGGAAAAAGAAACAAACAATGGTTCTCCTATTGTCAACTAAGACAAGGCAAAAGAATCAAAGAATGACTTCTCATTTTGTCACCTAAGACAAGGCAAAAGAAACAAACAATGGCTTCTCCTATTATCAACTAAGACAAGGCAAAAGAACAAACAATGGCTTCTCCTATTGTCAACTAAGACAAGGCAAAAGAAACAAAGAATGACTTCTCATTTTTTCACCTAAGACAAGACAGAAGAAACAAATAATGGCTTCTCCTATTGTCAACTAAGATAAGGCAGGAGAACAAACAATGGCTTCTCATATTGTCAACTAAGACAAGGCAGAAGACACAATGGCACCCCTATTGTCAACTAAGACAAGGCAGAAGAAACAAACAAGGCTTCTCCTATTGTCAACTAAGACAAGGCAGAAGAAACAAACAATGGCTTCTCCTATTGTCAACTAAGACAAGGCAGAAGACACAATGGCTTCTCCTATTGTCAACTAAGACAAGGCAGAAGAAACAAACAATGGCTTCTCCTATTGTCAACTAAGACAAGGCAAAAGAACAAACAATGGCTTCTCCTATTGTCAACTAAGACAAGGCAAAAGAAACAAAGAATGACTTCTCATTTTGTCACCTAAGACAAGACAGAAGAAACAAACAATGGCTTCTTATATTGTCAACTAAGACAAGGCAGAAGAAACAATGGCACCCCTATTGTCAACTAAGACAAGACAGAAGAAACAAACAAGGCTTCTCCTATTGTCAACTAAGACAAGACAGAAGAAACAAACAATGGCTTCTCCTATTGTCAACTAAGACAAGACAGAAGAAACAAACAATGGCTTCTCCTATTGTCAACTAAGACAAGGCAGGAGAACAAACAATGGCTTCTCCTATTGTCAACTAAGACAAGACAGAAGAAACAATGGCTTCTCCTATTGTCAACTAAGACAAGGCAAAAGAACAAACAATGGCTTCTCCTATTGTCAACTAAGACAAGGCAAAAGAACAAACAATGGCTTCTCCTATTGTCAACTAAGACAAGGCAAAAGAAACAAAGAATGACTTCTCCTATTGTCAACTAAGACAAGGCAGAAAAAACAAACAATGGCTTCTCCTATTGTCAACTAAGACAAGGCAGAAGACACAATGGCTTCCCCTATTGTCAACTAAGACAAGGCAGAAGAAACAAACAATGGCTTCTCCTATTGTCAACTAAGACAAGGCAGAAGACACAATGGCTTCTCCTATTGTCAACTAAGACAAGGCAGAAGAAACAAACAATGGCTTCTCCTATTGTCAACTAAGACAAGGCAGAAGACACAATGGCTTCCCCTATTGTCAACTAAGACAAGGCAGAAGAAACAAACAATGGATAACAGTGTGTAAACATGGTATTACATATACCTCTTACATTGAAAATCTATCTTTAACACTTTGCAAAAAAAAATCTGAAAATAACTGAAAAAAAATTAAGTTGAAAAATATATAATCTATCATTAATTTATAAAATTTTGTTCTAAAACTTATAAATTGAAATGAATAATTGAAATAAATAATTAAAAGAAAAAAATAAAGTAATTGAGTATGCATCTTTTTATTAAAAGGCTGTTAGTAAATTAGTTTGTATTAAATATGGTTATATAATGTAAGCATTTTGTGAGTAAGATTACAAACATGGTGCACAAGTATGAAAATAAAACTGAATTTTGTAAACCAGTCTCCTGAATTGATTGCATGTGATTGGTTGATAATAAATTCAAATTTTTGGCAATGTTCCAATATGAGACTGGTTTTCTAAAAGTCAGTTTTTAAAATTGTGTGATGGTTAATGTATAATGGAGACAATATCTAAAGGTTAGTCAAATATTATGTAAAGCTAATTAGAGCTAAAACTGTATGTGTTTAAAATACAAATCTTCTTCAGTGCAAGATAATATCTCAAACTTTTAATGAGCATACACTATTGATGACAATTTAAGATGTTTTATTACACGCTTTTCGGTGGTTTATAGAAATATATCAGTGATATAAAACTGGTAATTTCACTGTTTGAAACAGTGAAATTACCACTTTGATAATTTCACTGTTTTGAATTTAAGCCCGTTACGTTGTTTCAGTGAAATACCAGCGTGCACAGTACTGGGTACCAACTTAATGACGTGACGTCGTAAATGACGTCACGTTTTATTATTCTTTGGCGCGCCTTTCATTCAGTAAATAGGTTAAATGTCTTTTTAAAACGTTTCTTTGCATGTAATAAAAAGAAAATTTGTTTAGTTTAGTGTAAGATTGAAATATATTTCACCTTGTGAACACCAAAAGTTCATATTTCACTCGTGGCTGCGCCACTCGTGAAATATACCTTTTGGTGCTCACTCGGTGAAATATATTCCGATCCTACACTGAACTAAACAAATATCCTCTATTTAATACCACTGATTTAAGCAAACAGTTTATTTTTTGTCAATATCACTACTCTTCCCATATAGCAATATACCTAATTGAGATACTGAACAAACCATATCTGATAGGTAAATTTCACTATAAAACAACCAGCTATTATTAAGTCTTGTCAGATTGCAATGACTGGACATGAAGGCTGATCTGATATCATATGCTAGTATAGCATAATCAAGTCCTTATTCCATGTCCTTAAAACATGTTCATATCTCAAGTCCTAATTCCAAGACCGAATCACAAGTCCTAATTTGATAATTAAAAGCTCTAATCTCAATTCCTTATTGCAAGTCCTAATATCAGGTCATAACTGCAAGTTATATTCTCATATCCTAATATCAAGTCATAATTCCAAGTTCTAATATCAAGTCATAATTGCAAGTTCTATTCTCAAATCCTAAAATCAAGTCATAATTCAAAGCCCTGATCTCATTTGTCCTAATATCAAGTCAAAATTCCCATCCTTATAACAAGTTCTAATTTCATAATTAAAAGCTCTAATCTCAAGCCCTAATCTCAGAACATAATTGCTAATTCCATGAGTTGAAGGTTCCTGTCGCATATATCCTTGACGTAGATCTAATTTTTTAAATTCTTATCAAGAAACAGATTGAAAGTACTGAGGAAATAAAGTTATAAAGCAATGAGAGAAAGATACATGTCATGTTATTATTAATTTCTAGAGTGGTATGTTTTCCAATAGATCTATGTTAATATATTTATTAATTAATAAGACTTAATACACAATGCAGTCACACACAGAAGAGTATCCCTCTGTTCATTTCATATATAGGTAAAAACAATAAACAACCATGATAATACAGCAAAAAATGTTTAAATCACAAAACCCTAACAATATTCACCATGGCACTTGATGTGAAAGTTTGGTGGAAATTCTTTATGTAATGAAAGAGGAAAGAAAACCCAGGTGGCTTTTAGTTTGACAAATTGACAAATGTAGGCACCAGCATTCTTTTCTTTAGGAATTTCACCTTAACTTTCACATCAAGGTATATTGTCTGTTTTCTTTTTTGTAGTTGTTTTTTGTTTTGTTTTGTTTTCTGCAATATTTGGTGGAGAACCTGGTCTTGTGACTATTTTTTATCATCATAATAACCAGATTTTTCTGATGTTACACCCACTCAATAATCAAGTTACAAATTGAATTCACAAAGGAAACATTTTCTACAAGACTGTTAATAATAACATAAATGAACATATTTTAGATTCAGGGTCTAGGAGAATTGGCTAAGCTATAATGTGTGCAATAAATAGTTCATTAAGGTATTTAGTTCAGATATTAAACATTATCAAACATTTTAGATTCTACAGAAAAGATTATTAAACATAGTATGATCTTTATGGATGTAAAAATCACCTTACAGTATAGTCAACATTTTCAATGTTTTAGTAGTTTTAGGACTATGTTAAAAGAAAACATTGAAAAAAGACTTGAAAACAAAAAGAATATTGAATATAATGGCAAATCCAACCAATTCAAACCAAATAATATTGTAACAAAATGTTGTTTTATAATTATTTTTTTTTCTAAAAATAAAACAAATTTCAAAATTACCCTTTATCGTAATATATACTTGTACATGTGTACATGTATTGTCATGTTTTATAGAGAGTAAATTAAAAGTAGGAAATCAATCTTATGCCAATAATCAGATCAATATGTTACGTAATTCAAATTATATTGCATAAATTTTTTTATTTCATTTTCCTTTAACTTCACACCTATCATCATATTAATCAACATTTATCATGGACATTATCTTAAATGTATAAACTTTTACTTCAGTTAATGCCTAAAAAAAGAATTTGTATTGTGTACAAATGAACAATACTGATTCTTATTTCACAGCATCTTAATTGCCAATTTACTTAAGTTTTGTTATGAATGAGTATGTCTAAATTTCTCATCATAAATGATAAATATTATTTTTTAGAGGTGTCAGGTTTATCTGATTAAAAGGGTACGGTTGGTTTTTAGCTAAAAACCAAAAATTCAATCACCATTAACAGTTAGTAGGAAAAGTTTTAAATTGATTCTAAATATTACTTTAATTTTTTTCTATGACAAGATATGACAATTATTTTAGTTGTACTCAACAATGTATTTTTTCCGATCTGATCGAATACTGAACGAACCTACCTGAAAAAAGTTACTCCATATTCAGTTATGTATTGTTATCATTTTGAGTACAACAAAAATGAACAAAATGGCTTATCTTGTCATTAAGGATTAAAGTTAATGTTGATAATCTAAGAATTTTATTAGTATGGTCGGTTAAACGCTTATCACGGTTATTACATCGCCGTTTAAATGGTTAGCATTTTTTCTAACCGTGACACCCCTAATTATTTTTCCATAAATGCTGTCAATAAATCTAACTTACAAGTATAATCTAAGTAAAATGTCACAAGATATGATTAAAATATACATATGTTCAGTCACAATAAATAATGTTGTTACACACATTGGACATGAATCTTTCTGGTAATGATCAAGACTGACCTATAGAATAATTCTACTTGTTAATTACACAAAGAACATGCAAAAGAAACCCACTCTCTAAAGTCATATATTACACTGCAATTATTTACTAATTAAGGTATCTGTGCATAAATGTACATATGCCTTGGTGTAAAGTTAGGTACTTTGTATCATATACAGAGGCTTTCATGCAGTTAGGCACTTCTATTTGAAGCTAAATTGTGTCTCACTCTATTGAATATTGCAGAGTTGCTTAAAATAAAATATCTCAAAGGGGAGCGGTCAATTTGTGCTGGTGTGTTGTAACTATGATTTAAGCATTTCTGCGGAATATTGATATATAATTAATGTGAGGTTTGTGGGAAGCAGACGGGATACTGTACCAGGGTTTTTGTGGTGCATGATGGGATCTGCCATTGTTTTCATACATAATATTCATAAGAAGAGTAGGGATACGAATACGCATCTCCGTAGAGACCATAACCACCACCATAGAACTCACCCCTATATGGTGCCCCGCGTCTGAAATAAAGAAAAAAATAGTTCCATTATAAGTACATAATAAAGATTATGGTATTGTATCAAAATTATCATTATTTAACTAATTTTTCATACATTCCTCTGTAAACGATTCTTGTTTTTTTAACTTTTTTCGAACAACAATTCTATACAATGTCATTGTAAATGATATAAAAGGAGTGAAATTTTGCCAAAATATGCAGTCCTGTTCCATATTTTCTATGGCCCTTAAAGATTATGAGACCAATATTTTTACAAATCTATTCAAATCTACTAAGAGCCAACTCAATATTCTCAAGCTAGTGATACTTGTCACACAAAAAAATATCTGAAGAATAAAATCTCTGACAACATAGAATTTTTACTATCATTTCCAGAATAAGTTTTCTTTGAATCCTTTAACATCGTTAATGCAAAAATTTTAATGCCTAATTTTCCACTACAAAGCAAAGTGTTTCCAAATTTAAGTAAAAGGTTATACAAAATACATGTATATTATTTGTTTTTGACCCTTGCTTGCTGCCTTTTTATTTAGAATTGTTACTTAAGCCATAAAAAAACTATTTCTATTTATGAAAGCTTTGATAGCCAGTAGCAGCATTTGTTACATAAAAGTTGTTAAGTTTATATTTTATAAAATAAATTAGAATGTGATTTTCATTTTTTTGTATATGGACATGAGATTTAAATGTGACATAAAGTGTGCTTATTTCTATAATGTTATGTCACATGTGATATAAAGTGTGATTATTCAATGATAACACATAACTGTGTCACTTCATAAAGTGTGATTATTTCAATGATTACATATAACTGTGTCAAATGTGGCATAAAGTGTGAATATTACAATGATAAAACATAACTGTGTTACATGTGGCATAAAGTGTGATTATTTCAATGATAACATATAACTGTGTCAAATGTGGCATAAAGTGTGATTATTTCAATGATAACACATAACTGTGTCAAATGTGGCATAAAGTGTGATTATTTCAATGATAACACATAACTGTGTTAAATGTGGCATAAAGTGTGACTATTTCAATGATAACATATAACTGTGTCAAATGTGACATAAAGTGTGATTATTTTTCAATGATAACATATAACTGTGTCAAATGTGGCATAAAGTGTGATTATTTCAATGATAACACATAACTGTGTTAAATGTGGCATAAAGTGTGACTATTTCAATGATAACACATAACTGTGTCAAATGTGGCATAAAGTGTGATTATTTCAATGATAACACATAACTGTGTTAAATGTGGCATAAAGTGTGACTATTTCAATGATAACATATAACTGTGTCAAATGTGGCATAAAGTGTGACTATTTCAATGATAACACATAACTGTGTCAAATGTGGCATAAAGTGTGACTATTTCAATGATAACACATAACTGTGTCAAATGTGACATAAAGTGTGACTATTTCAATGATAACACATAACTGTGTCAAATGTGGCATAAAGTGTGACTATTTCAATGATAACATATAACTGTGTCAAATGTGGCATAAAGTGTGATTATTTCAATGATAACACATAACTGTGTCAAATGTGGCATAAAGTGTGACTATTTCAATGATAACACATAACTGTGTCAAATGTGGCATAAAGTGTAATTATTTCAATGATAACATAGCTGTGTCTTATGTGACATTAAGTGATCTTATTTCAATGATAACATAACTTTGTCACATGTGACATAAAGTGTGATTATTTCAATGATAACATAACTTTGTCACATGTGACATAAAGTGTGATTATTTCAATGATAACATAACTGTGTCAAATGTGACATAAAGTCTGATTATTTCAATGATAACACATAACTGTGTCAAATGTGACATAAAGTGTGATTATTTCAATGATAACACATAACTGTGTCAAATGTGGCATAAAGTGTGATTATTTCAATGATTACATATAACTGTGTCAAATGTGGCATAAAGTGTGAATATTACAATGACAACACATAACTGTGTCAAATGTGGCATAAAGTGTGATTATTACAATGACAACACATAACTGTGTCACATGTGGCATAAAGTGTGATTATTTCAATGATAACATAACTGTGACTTAAGTGACATTAAGTGATCTTATTTCAATGATAACATAACTATGTCACATGTAATATAATTAGTGTGATTATTTCAATGATAACATAACTGTGTCTTATGTGACATTAAGTGATCTTATTTCAATGATAACATAACTTTGTCACATGTAATATAATTAGTGTGATTATTTCAATGATAACATAACTTTGTCACATGTAATATAATTAGTGTGATTATTTCAATGATAACATAACTTTGTCACATGTAATATAATTAGTGTGATTATTTCAATGATAACATAACTGTGTCACATGTGAATTTTAATTGTAGTTAATTGTTAGTTAATTGAAATAGATGGACAGTGGGGGTTAAACTTTGCGACCTCTGGATTTGTAGTCAAAGAGTGTTGTAACCACCTGCTCTTACTGGCTTATATGGAATTTGATGACACTTAATTTTTATTATGGTTCAGTAAAATCATACATTTAAGGTAACATAGCAATCTAAATAGTCTAAACCAGACTGTTTTCTAGCATTTAGCATCTTACCTGAAGCAATATTACTGGGTAATCATGCTATAAATACCAATGAAAAGCATAGCTACTAATGTCATATACAAGACAAATTCTTAAAAGGCATATTTGAAAAATATTCCTGTAAAAGAAAATGTACCAACTTTTAAGTTTGTTTTCTATAGTAACAATACATTTGAAAGAAGAAATACATGTTGGTTGTATCAGTAACAATTTACAGTTTATGAAAAGAGTTCATTATCATACCTTTTACTATTTTTGCTACGTGTATTGTCTTATTTTAACTGTATTAAACTATTTCAGGCAAATTTAATATTATCTTAACACAAACTATAATTTCCATTTTTTCTTATCTAACTGTTATGATATATGGGTAAAATTATATTTCTGTTAAATTAATATGGCAAAAAATATCTGGACACATTACTAGTACAAAGACTTTGACCTTTATGTTGAACTTGTTACTACTGGTAGATGCATCAGTGAAGCATCAAGAAAATCTAGCACAAGCATTCTAAAGCTGTTCTATGGCCATTATTAATATGAAGGTGACTGACCTTAGACCTTAATCTTTGCAATAATTGCTATTGATTCAATATTTACATTGCATGCATGTTGTCAAGCTAAACCTTACTTTTTAAAGATTAAATTTTGTTCTTGTTGCAACATCATTTTTTTAGTAGACCATTTGACATGTCAGTAAATAGACAAGTCCTTGCAAGCTTTTAATCCTTTTAAACAATTTACAAGCTCAACACTTGTGTTACAGAAAAATTAAAATTACTATTAAGGTGTTTGCAAAGCATGTATATGTTATGCAGTTCTTTGTTCAAATTGTGACCAAACAAAAAAACAACATCAGTTAAAATGGCTGGACTACTTAAAGTAAAAATACTTTAGGTTATTTAATCTTTTGAACAAAATTTCAATTTAAACTTCTGGCCAACTAAAGCATAAATAAGAGTTAGTTCTTTGAACTAAAGCTGCATACAAAGTTATAAGGTATTTATGGTATCTGCCAATATCTAGCTCATTACTTACAATTCCATCGCTGGTACAGTTTCATATTGAGTTATAGTTTGTGGTCGTCTGTAATAAAGTATGCACAATCATGAAAAAATTACTTACATGCTTCCAAGATTGCAAATTGTAGAATCTACTGTACTTTAGTACAGTGTTAATGAAAAATTAAAGCCCATTTGAAAGCAATACTTCTAAATTCTTATTTTAACAATTACTTATTTTTTTGTAGTTAGATTCTACTTAAGTTTTTGTTAAAGGGGGTGTTTTTGTCTATGCACGCAATTAAAGCATTGAACTTTTTTTCTTGCTTTGTTGGACAAGGTAAAAACATGTTTCTTTCTGATTATACTACTGAAAGGTCTACAGTCTCAGAATTAAAATTTGGAATGAACAAAAAAAAACTAACAAAAAATCTCAAAAGACTTTTTCAAGATCTATCTAATTATTGATAAAATTTTGGTTGTTTTTTTATTCCAATGCTTGCAAACAACTTTCATACTGTATTTTTTTCCAAATTGAATGCAAGCCACATCAATCCTTTCTAGATTAGAGTACCAAATCTTACTTAAAACCATGTATAACCTTCTTATCCTGGCAAATCAGCAGTTGTAGGAGAAAGGTCTTATTACAATAACAAGTATGTTATTTGTATAAAATATCACAGAAAAACATACATATAAAATGTATTATGCTATTATGCAAGGGGTTAAATATTGCTTACTTGACCTCTGCTGAACAGCTTGATTTATATTAAATGATTGGCCAATATAATTTGACTTTCTTTTCTACATAACATATAAAGCACTTCAGATAATAAACTTTAAATAATGTTTAAGGTGATCCTTTTTTATTTCTAAGAAATTATTCCAATCAAATTGTATCTGCTCAATATGTATACAAGTTTGTTTTCATTACATTTAAATTACATAAATGTATATAAATTTGGAGATAAAAGAATGCTTGCTTAAAGGGGATGGTTGAAAATATAACATGCATCTAATATAATTTTTCTGCAGTTGTTTATGTGTAGGACTAACTTACTGACAATATGTTTGAAAAGAATGTGAAAATAACTTACATGTCACATTAATGGCTTACCATGTAGTATAACTATCGATGTGGACAGGGTTGTCTAAATTTATATATATTTGACTACTTAGGGTCTGAGAAAAAGAACTTACCTCACATCATAAATGCGACAAAAGATGACTGTTTACCAGGTGTGTATGCAAACTACATGAACATTTTAAACTGTTCACTTGTGTTTCCCTTAGCAATGCAAGTGTTTTAATATGTGCATTTCTACATCATAACTACCAAAACTAAAGCATGTTAGAGCTGTTTTCTATTAAAGCTAAGATCATGATATTTATTATTGCAGCAGCATAATTTATTAAATTGTTAGTTGCATTACAAAACTCCCTGCCTCCATTCTACGACCATTGCTCTTTTAAGCGGTTGATCAGTAAAATTTATTTAATTCAATGTAGTTTTACAAGTAACTGTTTTTTGTTTGGATAATGTTAAAAAGCAAAAATGGCTTAAAATGTGTCATTATTACTTAGCAGAAAACATTTTGTACTTTTGCAGCAAATTCTGAAAATGTTTACAATGATGGAGGAGATCTGATTTAACATAGCATTATATGTGAAGTGAAAGCTGATTACAAATATAACTTACTCTAAATTTGTCATATGACGACCCCTTACTGTATATAGTAGGGTGGTTTGGGTTGACTGGGTGAAGAATTTATAAATCAATGAAAATAAAGCTTACTTAGATAATTTATGTATTGACAGCACCATGATTTGGCATTGCTTGAGTGAGGTAAGCAGAAATACATGTAATACCTACCCATTATTGCAGGCATAATGGAATGGATTGGTGTGGTGCGGTGTGGCATGTGGTGTGTTCTGGTGTGGTGTGGTGTGTTCTGGTGTGGTGTGGGTGTGGTGTGGTGTTGGTGTGGTGTGGTGTGGCATGATGTGGTGTGTTCTGGTGTGATGTGGTGTGTTCTGGTGTGGTGTGTTCTGGTGTGGTGTGGCATGTGGTGTGGTGTTGGTGTTGGTGTGGTGTGGTGTGTTCTGGTATGGTGTGGTGTGGCATATGATGTGGTGTGTTCTGGTGTGGTGTGTTCTGGTGTGGTGTTGGTGTGGTGTGGTGTGTGGCATGATGTGGTGTGTTCTGGTGTGGTGTGTTCTGGTGTGGTGTGGCATGATGTGGTGTGTTCTGGTGTGGTGTGTTCTGGTGTGGTGTGTTCTGGTGTGGTGTGGTGTGGTGTTGGTGTGGTGTGGTGTGGCATGATGTGGTGTGTTCTGGTGTGATTTATTCTGGTGTGTTTTTTGTGTGTGATGAGTTATTGTGTGTAGTTATGGTGTGCTGGTAACATGTTGGCTATTGGTATGTTACTGATGTGGTTACATGATCTGATATGGCATGGCATACCTTAACTGAAATGAGGAAGGGTGTAAGGCAATATACTTACATGTCAGTTGCAGTCATTGCATTATGACCACACATCATGTTATTCAAGCATTATTGTGCTATAACTTACATTATGTTCATCACAGGTACAGGCATTCTAATGGTTACTAAATAAAATATATCATTTGTTCGTGATGTATCAAAATCTCTACTAAACACAGTCATACTTACATACCCATTGTTCGAACTGTCAGATAGTTAGCTTATTAGTAGCTTCCACTGGGTGGGGTAATGTTTTTCAATGTCTATAGAATACAAACATGACTTACATGTCCATAGCAGGCATAGTGGTATAGTGTTGTACTTGGGGTTGACTGGGTGGGTTAGAATAATGATGATGATGTACTGCTCCTCCTGCCAGTCTCGGAACCTGCAGCGCAAAAAATAATATCTCAGTAAATACATGTATGACATAGAAAAATAGTACATAGTGCATATAAACAGAGTTTATTTATTCTAAAAGTTTACTGAAGTAAAGGAAAAGTCTTAATTATTAATAAAGATATGTTAAGATGTAATTTTTTGTAACTTTTTAAAATTCTTAAAACACTTAAGGTTGATTGTAAAAGATATCAAAACTAAAACTTAAAACTTAAGTACCTTAGAAAATTTATATAGCAATGTTAGCCAAATGAATTTTTTATAAGTTCATAAAATATGCAAATCAAAATTGCATCATTATTTTTGTGTTATATTTTATACATATGGTGGTCTATTTTGTAAACAAAGTTAAATATGTCATTTCAATTTTAGAAATTTAATAGCTTTTCTACATTCAAGTGTTTCATTTGCAAACTAAAGACTGGAATTGATATATCATAAGTAAGCTAGAGAATATATAGGCGTATATTGTAAGTAAGCAATATTTGATGAAATTAAGAGTATCTAAAGTTTTATCTACTACGACAATCAGCAAATGCTCTTGATTGTTTTTTTCTTATGTCAGTTGAAGAAAAAAAAGGATACTTTCGATAATTGATAATAAGACACCAACGTGGATCTATGTCACTTCAATACTGAGCGAATGGAAAAGTGAATATTCATATTCAATGGAAATGGTATATAATCATATGCCAGTTATCATGCAATGATTTATTTAGCTCTTGTAGAGGCTTATCACATTATAAACTCCTTTGACCTGCTAATGTAACAGACTGTTTCCATTTATATATTTAATTTGTAGTGAACTATATCAAAATCATTCCTGTAAAGTTTGTTCAAAATCTTCCTAGTCATTTTGGAAGAAATGTGGTTTAAAGAAATTATGGCTTACAGCACATGACTGTCACTGATGATCCACACTGGTGATAAAAAAAAGCCCCTTCTCCTGGCGATGAGTGAAGGATGAGGGGCATTACTTGAGAAGAGCTGGAGGCTGAGCATGTACACATGGCTATATTTGGAAGTCAAGATAACATGCTAGTGTGTACATACACACGTGAAAGCCAGAGGCTTTATGTGAGATAATATCAATTTTGAAGTGATATAAAGCTCTGTTAAGGTGAGCTAAAAAACTGATTGACATAGCAGAACTTATAAAACAGCACAATGACAACTTGTATTTAAAGTGTGACAAGTTTGTGACTGTGTTGTATTATTGCCTAAAGAAGAAAGCTTCAATAGAAAACAAAAAGAAATTCAGGTTATTAGAGGATTAGTGGATTAGTGTTGATTAAAGAAAAAAGCTTACTATCATATAAATAAAGGTGTTACATAGCAGTGTGATTTTTTACTATAAAGTTCTGAAAAAGTATGATTTGATGTGCCTTTTTGTGTATCAATTGTATAAATCTAATCCCTAGTGTTTATATACACTAATCAAACAATAACTCTATATCATGAAAAATAAGAGACATTCTGGAAAATATGTTACAAAATTGTTCCAAATTTACTGCATTTTGATCTGCATGTTCTTTTTTGAACAAAATCACAGAGGAAAATTAAGAATTTCAAGAAATTCACAAAAAGTTTTCAAAAATAATGATCAATAGTTCAAAAAATAAATAAAAAAGCCTTGACTTTGTAGGACATGAAATTAAAAAGATAATAATTTAAATGAATTTGAGCAAATTAGAAAAAAAAGATGCATTTATTCTATGTTAAAGTGCAGTTGTTATAATTATATGCTGGCGCTAATTTCTATAAAATTATAAAATGCAAACAAAAGTAATGCTTTATAGATATGCATAAAGCAATGGCAGGCATGTATTTAACTAAAGCTTTACATTGACATACTCCTGTGTTTAAAAGCTAAAGTAGTAAAACAAATAAAACTATATTCATTTCATTAAATGTATCTTCATTTTTCTGTACAGAATTTGATTCACAACCATACTATAGGTTTAAATGTAACCTCTACATTAATTGGCCTTCAATCCGATTCGGAAATATACCTGTAATATATGATGCTTTTAAGTTGCCAAGAAAATTACAATGTCCAAACGGCCAAGAAAAACACAACGATTAATGTGAACATGTCCCATTAATTAATTGATAAATTATTAAATGATTAATTAATATGACAATATGACCACTTAAAATAACTTATCATCATGCAGACCATCTTTTCACAAAAAATATGATCATGAAATTATTGAAACAAAAATATTTCAAACTGATCAGCATTCTTTTTTATTTATTTTATCTTAATAGAATATAATGAATACATCTTTATATTGTTAAAAGAAAATCCTTTCATAAATTGGTCAAATAAAAAGTTGTCAACCAAATTAAAACTTGTACAATTATTGTTAAAATAAATATTTGAAAGATAAGTGTACTGAAGATATGCATATTGTTACATTATTGTTTATTGAGTTGAATTCAACTTAAATTTCTCTTTACTCAAAATTTTCATTTAAATTCCATTTAAACTGCACTTTTTATCACATAGAATAAATGTCTTTTTTTTCACCAATTTTAGCACATTAAATTCCATTTTTTTTGTCCATATTCCAACATTCAAAAGTTATATTATATCTAAATATAGAGAGTTTGTCAATAATAACATGTTCTTCGTACACAAGACCCGCAACCACAGCCATGATGACCATGACCATGATGGCCGTGGTGTCCATGGTGACCATGATGATGTCCATGACTGTCATGGCTATGTGAGGAATGTTGGGGACGGTCAGCTGTTCCCATTTGATTCAACATCATTTTCTGCATCACCATCTGATGCATTTGAGCATTCTGCATCATCATCATCTCTCCAAATTCTGTAAGTGTTAGAAACGTTTTAGTAAATACAAGGGCACCTGCCAGCTTTTCTCTTAACTATTTTATGTTTTTTAATCTTTCAGTTCTTTTTTTTTCTTTTCTTTCTTCCTAATGCATGTTTAAAGAGTCTTAAGCCTGCTCATAACAAATTTGACCACTTCCTTATTTATACATTTTACAAATTTTCTGCTTTTCAAATAATTTCTTTTACAAAAAACAATAGCAATTCAATTTTTCACTTCCCCCACTTATAATATTAAAATTTGAAAACTTTTTAAATTTTTGTACAAAAAAAAAATGTACAAAAAAAAATGTACATATGTTTAAAGCTCATTGTCAATTTCAAAAAAGAAAGTATTGCATTTTATGATGTTGTTGTTTTAAACCAAAAAAAAAAGAGAAGAAAAGAAACCAAACTCTAAAATGGTCTTCATATACATGTACATTTAAAAACCTGTAAAAACATTCAAATGTAACATTCCAATTTGTTTAAAACATGTAGTTACTGAAGAATCTAATTTTTCTGAATTTCAATTTTTTTAAAGAGTCTCAGTAACAGGGAAGATGAGATGTAAAAATCTGATTCTGTTTCAGATATTCGAGGTTTTCATTTGTCAAAACTTTAGTCCTAACCATCAAAGCTGGCAGGTTTATATTTTTAGTTTGAGTCTACAAATTAATGACTAAGGTGCAATATGCCATTTAGAAGCATAGTAACAAGCAGATATTACACGCAGCTGCTGTGCAGAGACACTACAATAAGTACATGTTTTAATCAAAGTTTTATATACTGTAACATCCATGAAACCTTGTTCTTGCATAATACAAAATCGTGGGCTCACAAATAATACTTATCATATATTTATACATATATATATAGAAAAAATCGCACAAAAAATCTCTGGACTTCAACCACTCCCGCTCATGACTTTCTTTCTTTCATATATACATGTATATATATCCTTAACTAACAATTTAACATCTTTCTTAAAAGTAACAGATTTTCATTAGATCGTACACAAGATTTTTGTTATGTTTCTATAATGGCTTATTCTAATATACAAGAGGAAATTTCATGGATATTACCTAACAGTAAAGCATTCAAAACTAGAAGATGGCATTTAAAATGGCTACATTAATGCCATGGCAATGCAATACCATGGTGATATAAATGCCATGACAATATGGTGTGATACCATGGCAATATGCTATCATGGCAAAATTATACCATCATGATACAGGTTTATGCCATGTCATTTTGTAAAAGCAACATATTTTGATGTCATGGCAAAAATGAACATTGCCATGGCAACATCATAGTCATGAGGTCATGGCAACATCATAGTCATGAGGTCATGGCAACATCATATGAGGTCATGGCAACATCACATGAGGTTATGGCAACATCACATGAGGTCATGGCAACATCACATGAGGTCATGGCATCATCATGTGAGGCCATGGCAACATCACATGAGGTCATGGCAACAATATATATATGTCATTGAAATAATATGCTAAGTTATGACAACAAACTATAATGTTATGGCAACAGTAATGTCATGGCAAGACAACATACAGGGAGGCAGTGGTCATAACAGCCAATGGCACCATGTCCACAATGTCCGTGGACACCATGTGCCGAACAACATCCGGAACCACAATCATGGCAGGAATCATGGCATGAGGAGCCATGATGGTTGTGGTTATCGTAACACTCTTGGCGACCAAGATTTCCCAACATCAGTTTCTGCATCACCATTTGATGCATTTGAGCATTCTGCATCATCATCATCTCTCCAAAATCTGCCGGATAATAAATTATCAATATTAATCAGAATATTTTAAAGATCTATTTTTCCACAGAATGATGTGCACTGACAATACTTCAAAGTTATGCCAATGTGGAAATAAAAACATACCTATAGAAATAAATATCATTATATGTTCCTACAAAAATTGTAAACAGTATACATGTATATAGATAAAATTAAAGATGAGGTTCTTTAAAACTATATAATAGGTCATCCTTAGAAAGTCTTTATTTGCAAATTACAAGAATCAAACTTTTAACAGTGATTAAGGTACATTAATATTACTAAAACAATTCTATGTTAATAAAAAACAATATCCTTTGGAGCAGAACTGTGAAAGAAAAGTTTATCAAGGTATTTTCATGGTTTTCATGGTAAAACAAACAAAAACTTCTTAAGGGATGACCTTACAGCCTGCAAAACAATGATTATTGTAAGAACATTTAGAAACAAAGAAACACAACAATTATCAGCTGTCTGTTTTATACTTATTTCTAAAATGGGAACTGAAAATAAATAGTGCACTGTGCATAAAATGCAAAAAGTGGTATGAAAATATATTTTCTAGCTCTGGCAAGTTGGGAGGAAATAGTTTCATAAAAAATAACATTTGGGGTACAGTCTACAGTAGGTTATACATACTATAAAAGCAATTTGTAAGGGGCAACCATTTAAGTTAGAGCTGGTGAATTTTTTTAGATGAGCTAAAGGTATAATATTCTTATAAATATAAGCATATTTATTCCTCCTTTGTCAAATACTAGTGTTGTATTTTCTTTTTGATAACATTAACAGAATAAAAACTAGTTAAATTGTTGCTCCTTTGGTCCTTAACTTCGGCAGAATAGAAAAGACAAAAACTGTAAAGAGGGGCAAAAAATAACAAATGCTAGCTCTTAGCATAGATATCTTGTATTAAAAGCCAAGGTAAGTCCAAAACATCTACAATATAAGAACAAGGTAATTAGGGAATAGAAAAATATAAACTGGCTCTTCAGGAGGGAGGTAGTCTTACTGCTGTTTCTGCCTCCTTTACAGCAACTTTGTTGTCATGGTTTGAGTGGTTACCATGGCTTGAGTGGTTGCCAGGCAACACATGTAGCAACATCTGATACATGACTAAATGGTGCATCTGAGCATTTTGTAACAATAACAGGTCTAGATAATCTGCTGAAAAGAATATATTTCCAATAAAGAATATACAATTTCGACAATTTGATTTTGGAAATACAAAGAATAATAAAGAGTTCTTGGCCGAAAGGCTGTGCTTTAAATTGGTCTTCAAGCAGAAGATTTAGCATATTTTGATATTCTGAAAACTGCATGTTTAATTTGAGTAGTTATGAATAACCATTTTTGTACATGTATATCCTTTTTTTAAAAAATGACCAATGAACAGCTTTTGTCCTGAAAGACATGATATAACTCTATTTTCCTTAAGCATTTACCTTTCCTAGCACACTTTATATTCTGCAGATTTATACTATTAGACTCAAAATACAGTTCATTATATGTTGCAACATAAACCCCTCACCAAAAATGTTATCATTAATTCAGTGCAGTAAGTCATTTTCCTTCAAAACACTGCAACTGTACCTTAACCAAAAACTCAAATTATTTAATTCAAACAGAGATTTTGTGCAGGAGATACATTGCACACATAAAAGGTGACCAAACACTGTATTAGTGTCCTTTTCCTTTTTGTTAACCCCAAATTCCATATTAATTTCAACAAGAGACTGTGTACAATATATTACCCCCATTGGATCAGTAATTGTACCACCATTGGCTAAAGTTTGTTGCATTATCATCTGATGTAGCTGGGCATTTTGCATCAACATCATGTCCATAAAATCTATAGTGTATAATATTATCCTAAAATATCCCTCATATAGTATATAGGACTATTCAAAATTTTAACATTTATTTTGGTGTGCTAAGTTTGTGTTTCTTTCAGTGTAATAAATTGTTATAAACTTCTTCTAAGCCAATTGAAGATAAGCCAGAAGATTATTTGCTCCCACAAAAGGCCACCAAACATGTATTACAGTGTCCCTTTTGTTAACCCAAAATTATATGTTAATTTCAACAAGAGACTGTGTACATTTATACATCTCCAATTGGATCATTCTTATACAAATTATGAAATAAATATAATTTGCCCAGGATGTTTTCTCAGAAATCACACATTATTGTTTTTGCATAGACAGAAGCCATAAAAAGACATTTTCCCATAGAAAAAATTCCCATTTAATAATGAAATTTCACAAATAATTTAACTATTTTCCCAAATCAGCTAATTTTTCCTTTATATTACAAGTAAAGGCTTTCACAATAGTTAACTTGAAATGCATGTTAAACAGACATTAACAAAGTAAGGCTAATTGTGAATTTAAAACAAGTCTTATTGTATTGTGAATATATTTCAGTGTAAAATTTAGACCCTGCCTTATAGGCTAACAGTGTTATAGCTGAGTAAATAAAGACATAGATACAACAATCTTGCATCAATACACTGCAGTGTTTAATATAGACTCCTGAAGCTCTTTATTTTCAATACAACTCATCATAAACATTTGTGTTTTATGTAAAATTGGACCTCTTCTGCATCATAAATGTATTAATAAAGAAAGGCTTAGTGACAGAGAGGTCAGAGATTCGTTTAAATATCACTTTCATTTCACTCAATGTAATTTTTGCCAAGGTGAAGCCCATTCAGTAAGTTGGTATTTTCTCACGCAGTTTTGCGAGAAACTTACACAGTGACAATAAAAATGTCTCGTGTAATACTAATTTTGCTTTTAATTTTTAATGTAAATCTGACCCTCCACTGAGAACTTTTTTAATTGTCCCCCTAGTAATTTTAGTAATTTACTTATAACTTAAATCTGGGCTAGTGACTTTTGCTGTTTTAAGAAATGTTGGCTTTAATTTAGTCAGATTTCTTAATGAAGTATATGTAACAAAATAAAAAAAAATGTTGGCTTTAATTTAGCAAGATTTCTTAATGAAGTACATATGACACAATAAAGAAATGTTGGCTTTAATTTAGCAAGATTTCTTAATGAGGCAGTGTACATGTCAAATAATAGGATTTTTTTGCCATAAGACCCATCATGGCACGGGTGATATCTGTATATAATAAATTTTCCTTACATTTTATATATTTAATAACTGAATTAATAAAGTGAAGAAATGTCACTTTTGACCTGAGCTAATTTATTAAGCTAATTGCCAAAATAATGAGAAGGAATAATATGATTTTTAACCCTTACATGTTGTAATCACTTGTTTGAAAGTTGATATTATATAAATCATGTCTATAAATCTTCCAAACCAAACAAGTCCTAACAATGCCAGAAACCTCTCCCTTTTATCCATGAAACCAGTCTGTAACTATGGTATCATAAAATTATTATAAAAATAAAATAGAAAGGAAAAGACTATACCTGCTTTGTCAAACATCCCCTTCTTCTCCGGGGGCGGTCCTCCTAGATTGTGTATTATTGGGGCTTGATAGCCTCCTGCGATTATATGGGGTGGGGCCGGAGCCTGAATTATCTGTGGGGCAGGCTGCTGCATAGGTATTATTTGAGGGGGTTGTTGTTGTTGAACTATAACTGGGGGTGCTCGTTGTTGATTTATTGGTGGCAAGTAGCGTGGATTTCTGTCTGTTGCAACTTTATGTTCTATAACATGTTTCACTTGGGACATTTCTGAAAATATAGAATAAAAATCAACAAAATAATACCTGCAGACAATAATAATTGCAGACAAGATTTACTTATTTTGAAGGAACACTTTAGGTAAGTATTTCTAAGGCACAGTGAAAGAATGTGCAGCTCTGGGTATGACTGTGGTATGCATATCTATAATTACCTTATTAGCACTTATCCCCTGAATTTGTGTAGTGGATTTGCCCTCCTTTGAATTTGGAATCATCCATTCAAATATTAAGGGATTTCAGTTTCAGAATACAACAATTGAACTACCAACAGTATATAGGGCCAGATCAGACTGCTCAGTTGTGCAGGCTGGCCTGGCTCTATACTGGTGACAAAGCCTGATAACTTGTGGTTCAAGCTGGGTGAGGGTAAAGTTCATGACCTTGTTCAGAAAGGTCAATGTTGCCTTCATAAATGGATGTGACAGAAAAACACCAAAATCTAAACATACATGTAGTTCCTTTTCAAAATACTTGTTATTCATTATATATTTTTGTAAAGTAATGGTAATAAATTGGAATACCTTACAATGACAATACTAAAAAGTCATCAATATACTTCAAAGAAAAACATAATAAAAGTACACTGTGGAATACAATACAATTGGGAAATGACAATATTAAAAAGGTACCATATGAACGTCAAAGAAGAAAGAAAGGTATAATGAACCTATTGAAAATCTTACATCAATATTAACAATGAACACAATAAAAAAACTTGTCTGAATAGGACATTTTATACAATAGTACATCACATTTATCATAGCTGCCAGTTTATTGTATATGTTTTCACTCTTTTTCTTCTATTTTTTATTTGTTTGGGTCGTCAGACCAAACAAATAATGGTAGCGAAATTTCAGACCCTGATGCTGTTAATTGCAAATGCCGAAAGTAGTCCACTTTTTTTAAGGGGTTACTTCCCTTTATATGTACACTAACGCCGTAAAAATTCAGGGGAGATCACTGCGTAAAGATTGTCAAATGACAGGAGCATTAATTTTCAAGCAAAATAGTTCCCGAATGGTCGAAGATTTCTAAGATTGTTTTATTCTTTACAGATATACATGATTATAGTAAGCTCCATGATTATTTACATCTGTGTTAAACAACAGATAAGGCGTCGAAACAAACCCTTATTTAGAATAGTATGGTTTTCTTCAGGCCATTAACATATAACTTCACCGTGGCCGAGGGGATTGCACTCTCGCTTAGGAATTGAGAGGTCTGAAGTTCAAATCCCAGTTGAGGCAGCCAATTTTTTTTCATTTTTTAAGTCAAATAAACATTGAATTGAATATCATTGTTACAATTAGTCTTATAGCCAATTTACTACAGTTAAAACACTGGAAAGCATTGGTGGCACTATACAAAAACAAATTGGTTTATAATCTGAGACCCAAACAAATTCAGCGCCTTCTGTGCTTTAATCTATTTTTGTAATTTCCTTATAATAACAACAAGCATAGTTAACAATAAACCCTGCAGTTCTTGAAAATATAACAACAAGACAACAAGAAAATTGAAAATAATACTGTAACAGCATTTTAAAATAATTCAATAATTCAGTGATAAAGGAGGATCAATATTCTTTATTGAACAAAAAGACACATGAAGGGACATTATATAAATGTAAAAGTTTGTTGACTATTTACATTTTTAAGAAAAACTTGAAACTTGGCAGGGGAGTCAATCTTTACACCTAATGTCAATAATCAAAATCTGAATGATTACTAAGGTGCAAAGCAATGTCTTTTAGGATAAAAGTCCCTGAATATCCATCAGATAAGTGAAAACATGTCTACTGAAAGATGTACAAGCTTGAGAGGTTTAAATTGCATCAATCACTTAATCTATAAGAATCCTAGTGATTAGACTTTGCCAGCAGTATAAAACAGCCTGATCTGAGGCTCTTTAAGTATTGTAAGGTCTGTTTTTTTATTTCAATATTGAAATTCTTTAACTTTGAATGGACTGGTCCAAATTTTAAAGCATAGCTAATGAGCTCTTCAAAAGTTACTGGTGTTTAAATATTTAAATGTCTAACACATCCAAGTCAGTATGTTCTTCTGTATCATTTAACCAGATTTGTAACTGTTGTCTGACTTTTTTCTGCATTCAAATATTAAGATCCCTTAAATCAACAATCTACTGTCCTAAATTAATTACAGGACAAGTTCATAACAAAATACAGAAGGGTAAATGCTGTTGTAAACTCGTCTGCATTAAACAAGAAACCAGTTTACATCCAGATAAAACCGGTCTAACAAAAAGCAACCATTCTGATACACATCATTATAATTCAACCTTTAATCTGCTAATGTATTTATAACAGTAATCCATTCAGGTACAATTTGAATCACTGTCAATTGCCTACTTTAAAGACATTGATAGAATCAAAATGCTGAAATGATGCAGCAAACATTAAGGAGTCTGGTCAGAGACTGCATGGACATTATGAATACAGCAGTCTGACCTTGTACTGATGAGACAACATCACCATTTTTTGAGCGATCAGAGACTAAAATTGAAAGAGACTATCAGTAAAACATATTACATTTTAAAATAAAAAGTATTTGACACATAATGACTAAAATAAACTTTACTATAAGCCTAACAATGACAGCTCAACAGTAAAATCAAGTTAATATGCTATTGCTATAATACGAATCAAGTTGTATTTTCTCTAACATCTCTAATTTGATCTTTGATCTCGTCATTATTGTATTATAATAATATAACACTTGATTGGAAATAAAAGTCATATTACTCTATTCTATTTTATTTTATTCTGAGTCATCAGAATTCAATTGTTACAGATCTCACAAACAACTGCTTTTGACCAAAACACTTAGACCTCATATCACATCCTTTGTACATGTTTAATGTTTTATAGAAGGCATGAATGATGAAAACTTCATTTTGGTCAAACAAAAGGTCACATTGACCAGTTTCTCTCATAGATTTATCATGTTGATCTAGACACCTGGTATAACTTTTAAGTTGTTTTAAGTTGTTTTGTGCATTTTCATGGGCAGAACACAGTGAAATACCTGACTTTTAAGAAGCTAGGCATGTCAAGAGGTGGCTGCATGTAAGGGGGCCAAAATGACTGTCTCATATGCATTTTGCATGGGCCACCTCAAAACTTAGAAAACACACTCTTTGTTTTATATGATAAAACTTATAATGATTGCCTCAAATTCAAAATAAGCCTTCTTATAACAATCATGATGACAACCCTGCAGAAGATGTTTTTATTTTTGTTTAAAACATTATCTACACTCTAAGTTATAATTCTATCCCAAAACTTCTAACAATATAGTACATGTACTGTTAATTAAAAAGACAAATTCAATGTTAATCATCAAATTGTATAAACAATTAAAATCAAACATTTGTATCAAAAATTTTTAAAAGTAACAATGCTATAAGAATATGTTGCGACATGTTTATCATTGACACAAAACTATGGTACCTCCCTTTCACCCAACCGTAAAATCGACGCTAACAACGATGAAACTAAAGAGGCTACATTAAAACAGAATCTGATCAAACAAAAACGGTTAATACGATAAAGGTATAAATATTAAAATAAAAGAATCAAGTACCTGAGCGACAAGAAGAGTGGTCATCTTGAATATAATCTTTAACAACTTTGTCGCCAACATCAGTTAACCATTTCTCCGTTATCATACTACCATATTAAATCATTATAACTACGAGAAACCCGAACATACACACGTAAATTATCCTACCATACAGAAGATCTCCGACCCAACAACGATAGTCAAACTTTTCAATAAATCATCACCGAATCTTTAGAAATATACAGATGGCATATCATTCACCTTTCATAGAAACTCAGTATTTCCTATTTACATATTCATCTATATAGCTATAATTGATGCCTCTTGCTATTCAAACCATACGTCTACGCATTAAAAAAAAATTTGAATTTCAAATATAAGTATTCGGCTGAAAGGAAAAACTGTCAATATAGTGCAACGTTTTGATTTTATAAACAGATTGAATGATTTCCATTCAAGAGAAATAATTTGTTTTGAAAGAACTGTTTGTGTATGTTAACATTTTTATTTATCGGCTCAAAAAGGTGATTGACATCAAAAGAGATATATTTCTATCAAACATCCATCCCTGAAAACACTTAAATTGTAAGAAAATCAATATTCTGTTACATTCCAATGACCGAAGATTAAAAAATAAACTTTATTTTAAAATACTTTACAAATACTGGTATACAATATAATCTTAAATGTTGAAAATTTACATAAAAAATCTACTACATTAAAATCATAAGCAAAACATTCTGTTTCTTTGACTATGGTGAACATAATATACTCTCTGCATTTAAGTAATTTGAGCTTTTTTTCTCCTTTAGGTTCATTTACAGTCTAGGGTTTCTTTCCAGTTATTTTTTTGGCACAATAATAGTGTGTTAAACAGATAACAAAAGTGTTTAACAGTAGATTGGTTTACTTATAAATTGATCGTAAATTGAATGAAAAATATTTTCTAATTGAATAGATGCAAAAAATAGAAAGACCAATCTGGCTATCAAATTTCTGACTGCTTAATTCTGTGATAAAAAAAAACAAATTCCAGCTGTATGAAATTATTAATGATGTCAAAATGAATTTCTTAAGGAGGTGTCATGTTGGCTTCTATACCTAACATATTTCTTTTATATAACAGCGAAAAGAGAATCTTAATTTACTTATTACTCCACTTCAATTATTAAATTATAGAAGAACAAGATCTTTATTGCCAGTATAAAACTATAACCACCATGGTTGGTCTGGTCCCAATTTTGTAAATTCTTAAACTTAAACAGTACTCCTGATTAATTGATAAACATCTCAAATATCTAAATAGTCTAGTTGTCTCCCTTATATCAAATAAAAAATTATGATCAATGAAAAATGCAGTTTTTACATATTGCATTATTCATAACACAAACTTAAATCTATTATTACAGTGTTTTTTAAATCACTTTTAGGGGAGAATGGTGGCACTGAGCCCATGGAAAGGGGTATATTGCATCTTGGATGGGAAAATTTAGAATCTTTTAAAACTACAATGTAACTCCTCTGTGACACTCTTGTGATGAATTGGATTTCAGAAAATCAGCCAAAAAAAGCATACTATGAGCATAGTATGAATGACAATATCAATATTTAAAATCAAGAACCATGTTAATCTTTATGGTGGCTTTGCCAAGTGGTTAAGATGTCGGACTAGTCATATAAGGATTGTTGGCCACATGGGTTCAAACCCAGTTAAGGGCAAGCCATTGTTTCTGTGAGCAAGAAACACTCATTGCTTAGTACTGGTTGGTTCAAGGAATGATTTCGAGGGTGTTTCAATATAGCCTTCAACACAATCAAACTAAAATAAATGATTATACATGTATATGAAATAATCTTTGTAAAAAATTATACAAGTAATGAAATCGGCCCAATTTTGAGTCTATTATATAAAATTTTATTAGGATAATATACAACCTTTCAATGATTGTGTAATGAAATGTAATCATGATAGTAGCATGTACATTCAATATTTTTGTCTCAAATTTGGATGTGCCCCAAACATTGAAATATATATGTGGAACAATACAGGGTGTTACATATTCGGGTTCAAGATTTTTTTTGACATGGCTATGTTCATTCAAAAACATGTGTGTATGATAAATCGACAAATTTGAACATTTGAGTTCTATCTCTAAGCATGGTCGTGTCACCTGTCTGTTCCTGCAGAAATGTTATGTTTTCCCAAATATTATGCAATAACCAGCACACATATACCTGATGACAACTTTTTCTTTTTTATTTACTTTTTTTTTTGTCAGAGGTAACCAATATCACAGATTTGTCTGTTTAAATGTATATACACAGGTTTGGCTGTTTTCATGTATTATTTTTTGTATACCATGAAATGGTTTTAGTAAAAATATAGTATAACCCACATACAGTAGAACTTCTATGAGTCGAACTTTGATTAGTCGATTTTCTCGATGTGTCAAAGTAAAATGAAAGTCCTGATTTTCTCCCCTAAACATTCCTTATAAAAACCTATGTATGAGTCGAAATTTTATGTGTCGAATTTTTCGATTGTCGAAGTTTTTTCATGGTCCTTATAGAATAAATTGAGTACAATTTACCACAAATAAGTAAAAGTCCTTTGATTTTTTTGACACCTTCAATCTCGAGATATTTTTCACACCTTATCTTGCCGCCAAAGACGATTTGCAATCAATTTGTATGACAGGTGTTAATTACACAGCCGTGTCTTCAAACAGCCTTTGTATGCATTTAAATGTGTGATAAAATGTTTTAATTGTAACCATTCAAATTGAGGTAGTGGTTATTGAAAGTAAACAGTAAGAACTACATGTACTTTCATTTGAGAACTTCTGTGACCCGGTGTCGCGTGATAATCGCACGCGAAATATTTACTAAAAGCTGGTTAAGTTATCGCCCTTTCCTATTGTTTCGCCTTTTGCAACTTCCCTGTATATGTCAACAGGTCGAAATTTTGTTATGGAATTGAGACCGATTCATGAGTCAAAGTCCTGATTTGTCAAAGTTTTTACGCAAGTCCCTCCAACTTTGACTTACCATAGTTCTACTGTTTCTGACTATTTACGATATATAACATCTAGCAGTCTTAGTTCAAAGGTGGCATTTACCACAGGTTTGACTAATAACATAATTTAATAGCTTAATACCAGAGATGGATTTAAACACGTTTGATTGTTGAAATGTACATAATGTAGTGGTCTTGGCTCAAGAGTGGGCCTCTAACGAAGTTTGACCAATTTTGACCTTCACCACATATTACATTTACATAAAATCTTACCAGGTCTGTATGATCTGTAGGTTTCCGGAGCCTGATTATACATCTGATATTTGGCGAAGTCAGGTAAAGATCTTCGTGATGGAGGAGGAAGAGGAGATGGTGTGTATCTTTTACGAGCGCTGTACGTCCGCGGTCTCTTGTTTTCATCATTTAGTAACTGTTCTCTCTATAAAAGAAATATTTAAATAATAAATTTAAAGATGAAAAAAATGGCTTGCTTTGATTTGGTTTCATGTAATATTGTCACTTTTATTGTTTTATGTTCTTTAACTGATAAGACAACAGGTACAACATTATATATTATTTCATAGACAACCTTCTGCAACCAATCTTACGGGATATGTTAATTTCAACTTGTTGTTTGGCAAATAATGACAAATAAACCTCAAAAGTGGTATGGATAAATAGAGGATATCTGTTTAGTTCAGTGAAAGATCGGAATATATTTCACCGAGTGAGCACCAAAAGGTATATTTCACGAGTGGCGCAGCCACGAGTAAAATATGAACTTTTGGTGTTCACAAGGTGAAATATATTTCGATCTTACACTAAACTAAACAAATTTTCTTTTTATTACATGCAAAGGAACATTTTAAAAAGACATAAAACCTAATACTGAATGAAATGCGCGCCAAATTATAATACAACGTGACGTCATTTACGACGTCACGTCATTTAGTTGGTACCCAGTATTGTGCACGCTGGTATTTCACTGAAACAACGTGAGGGGCTTAAATTCAAAACAGTGAAATTATCAAAGTGGTAATTTCACTGTTTGAAACAGTGAAATTACCAGTTTTATATCACTGATATATTTCTATAAACCATCGAAAAGCATGTAATAAAGTACTTTAAAGCTGCATTTCAAAATATTTCAAGAACATTAAACTTGAGGAAAAAGTACTAAGATTTTAAGAAAAGTAAACAGATTTAAGATTAAAGTATTAATTTCCATGTTATGTGCAATTTATGACTTATTTTGCAGTATTTTTGACCATATTTCTATTGTGTTATTAACACAGTAAGGGCTATTTTGGCATATTTTGACCTCTTTTTGGTAAATTAATGGGTTGTAAGTGCTGCTTGCAATATGAAAATTATTTTCCTTGTGCACATCACAATATTTTACTTTTTAATACATTTTAAGAAAATTCATGAAAATTAGCATGAATCTGGAGGCTGCTTTAATCCTTACCATAGTAATTTCTTAAATGAACTTGGTCCATCTTTCGATATGGACTAAACAATTCATCCTATTTAAGGAAAATTTTAAAATATTTACTTAAGGAATTGCTAACAGTTCAGACCATGATTAAATGGCTGATCTTGGCAGGAGTTATCAAAATTTTCATTATTGTTTTAAAAGATATCAAAGTTTGTTTTAACTTACCCTAATTTTATCAAGAAGTTCCTGTCTTCGTAACATAGCTTGTTGAAGTCGTGCTTGGTTCTCCAAATCATTTCCACTACCTGTGTAATAATAAAACAATAACCTAATTATAATAACTATATTATATGAAACAAGAAATACAAAACTCGTTGAGAAGAAAACCTTACTCATGAGTATTTATGGCAAGCTTGGAAATTTGATAACATACTAAATTTTGCAATACAGATTTTGATTGAGACAGTTTTACTTCTATACATCTATATGAATTAATGTTCAATACAATGTATATTTTGCAAAAATGAACAGTTCCAAAGTCAAAACAGTAAACCAACATATTAGTTTGATATTACAGATGTTTTTGGGATAGTGCAATTTTTTTACAACAGGAAAGAAAAGAAAATTTTTGTCGATGCAGAGAATTTTCATAAAATTTGCATGATCAAAGAAGAATACTACATTACAACAAATGATGGAAAAATGGGGGTCACTATCCTCCTTTTTTAGTTATATATTTTAAAATATGTCCTGACTGAACAGGGATTAGTGCAGACCATGATCAGATTGCACAGATGTGCCAGCTAGTCTTGGTCTGCACTGGTTGCATAAGTAGATCAAGTTGTCATCAGTAGGCTCAAGCTTAACAAGAGCTGCTGCCAGGCAGGGGTAGCATTCAACTTTTTTACTTTTTCTAAAAGAAAACAAATAAACCGTTTAAACAATCTTTAAAACGAAAAATTAAAAAAAGAAAAATTAAGTTTTTCCTTTTTTTTAATTTTAATAGGTCTGTCTATAGTCACGCTTGTTGTTTTGTCCAAATAAATAAATGTTTTTTGTTTTTTGTTGTTTTTTTTCAAAAGTCGAGCTAAAAATGCCAAAACAACAATAAAGTATATAAAGAAAACAAATTATAAAATTCACTTTCCATACCAATTATCATCCATGGTTTGGGAATCCTCATTGTAAAACACAATAAATCTTGAATTAAAACAATGTCTTATTTCAGTCTCAATTCTTTTGAAAAAATTCAAGAACAACAGCAGCTCACAGAAATCCCATATTATAACTAAATGTATTTTTTTCAACAACCGCTTTTTATCTTTAGCTTTTTATCTGTAAAAAACTAAATACCACTAATTTCAACCAGACGCTACTTTTCAAAACTAAATGCCTTTGTAAGTAAAAAAGATTCTACAAGAACAGGACTATTTATTTAAATAGTGTCAAAATATGACAATTTGTTACATTTCATGATGATTTACAAGTTTCTTTATCTCAAAATAAGGATTTAGCATCACAGTGAGTTGACATGGGATCTAACAGATTTTGGTTCTTTGACGGATTTAAATTAAGTACAAAATCAAACACAGATATAGAAACTATGATGGAATGTCTCCAATGTGTCAATCAGTAAGGTGGTCAAACTATCTGAACTTATTCTGAAGAGCTTCTGCACTTTAAAAAGTGTACTTGATTACATTGGTCAGAAGAATGATGATAGCATTGGTTGACTAATCCTCTCAGCAAGTAACTGAAACCTTATTTGGCAAATCATTTGAATCATCAGAAGGTGACCTTGACCTAATGGTCTCAAAATGAAGTCTTCTACTGGCCTAATGATTGTCTATATCTAATAATATATTTTAAAATAGGCTTTTTAAGTTATTTATCAGATTTAATGTCACTGTGACCTTGACCTTTGATCTTTGACCACAAAATATATATGGGAAATCTACTTATCATGAGCAATGTCCCTTCCACATGACATAATTCAAAACTGTTTCTTCTCAAGTTATTGATAAAACAAGGTTTTTACAGTAAGTGTCACTGTGACCTTGACTTTTGACCTTAAATCATTAGAGAAAATCTACTGGCCATGGGCAATGTCCTTATAAAGTTACATTAACCACAACCTATTCCTTCTTAAAATATTGACCAGACAAGGATAACAAGACATATTTTAAAATGACGACATTAAAGATCCTGTATGTTTTGTGATTGATATTGTTAGTGTTTGTATACCACACTTGCAAAACATTATATATGTATATAATTATGCAAATAAAACAATTTTCAAACACCGAAGAATATGTAAAATGTGTACTGCAAATATTTATGCACATTATATTTAATCAATAAATTATATGCATTCATTTCTTAATGGAAACTTTGGCTAAGAATTTATAGAAAATAAATTTCTAATTACCTCCCTTTATTTACATGAAATTTTAAATTCGGTAATATCTTTATAAATAATGCTTATTGGAACTTAAAATATTAACAAATCTTAATTTGAGCATCATATCTTTGAAATAAAACCATGAAAAAAATGTGTTACAGGATCTTTAAAAGAGAGAAAAGCTGAAAGTTCACATATTTTTTTACCTTTGATATCCATGACAATTGGATATTGAAAGTAAATTTTATCCATGACAATACCAATCAGATTCGAAAAGTGAAATTCAATTTTTCAGCAACATTATTTTCAAATGCATCTGTCTATGAACATATTATTTTGTCAGTATTTTTCTTCTTCTATTCATATCTCACAGTTCAACTGGATCTATGGGCATAGTTTTTGTCTGTTTTTTTAATGTCGGCCATTTTTCAGTGACTTAGTCATATCTAACAGTTGATCCACCAAACACTGGCTTTCCTGATTTACTAACTTCTGGTAACATGTAATTACCAATTTCCACACAAGTGACCCACTACTTATCATGCATGGTTTCTGAATCAGCAGTGAGAGACAAATGACCATAAGACTCAATGCATAGGAATGTTGGTAAACACAGGCAAACAATTGCGATGACAATCTACTTAACTGCCAAAAATCAAACTCAATAAAAAGTCAATTTGTTTTCGACTTTTTACGTTTAAAATATTCGATAACAAATAGTAAGAACAGTAACATGTCAGGGGGAGATTATAAGAGTCAGGGTAGATTTCAGGCTTAAATCTTGATAAATCTAGATAAATTGCAAAAAATCTTCAAATTCGAATTTTTAATGAACTTATGAATGAAGTTAGATAAAGCATTAATTTCATTTTTTTGTAATTACTAATCTGTTTAAGGCATGCTATAAGCTAAAAACTGTATCAGTCTGAAGTGCTGGAGACGGAATGAACTTTCTTACAGTGCCAATACCATTTCCTTTAATCCAGTGCCTTCGGTCCGAATCTATATCTCTACTTCTACCTTAGCAACCCCAAACATATCAAACAACTCAGTAGGTATTTATCTATAAATTGACATCATCTAACGGATATGTGAGGGATTTCGCGCCTAATCCACGTTTATCTATATTGATCCTATAACTTAATTAACTTCAATAAGTTTGAATTAAATCAAACTTAGCAATCAGTGAGGTATATCTATAATATATATATAGCAACTGGATGTTTAAACATTTATCGATCGATAAAAACGCAGTGGTGGACCTTACGTCACGAGAATATTGACTGTGACAGAATATTTGTAGCCTTAGAAAACTTCTAGCAACGAGAAAAATAAATAAACCTGAGGTATAGGTGTAAATGAAGTTTAACCCCAGGATATGCCATTCAAAATTATTTACTTAATGCTTATACACCGCATCTGAATTTAAATTGATGGATACCTGTCAATAGGGGATGTATTTTTTTCAAATTTATTATACATGTACATGACTGTATATTAAGATTCACCTATACAATTTATCTAATTTCAAAATGCATTCCACTGAAATATTTAAAATGGATACCTTCAATCAAAGGGAGACAAATGATAACTAGAAATGTGTCCATATGACACGGATGCCCCCACACGCCACTGTTCTGTCAATCTCATGACTCTAGGTCAAATATTTTTTGGACTACATGTGGCACAAGTTGAAAACTAAAAATCAACAAAGGGCCATAATTCTGTGGCCATAATTCTGTTAAATTTGGTCGCAGCAAAAATTCCTTCCTTTACTACCATCTACACATTAAGGTTGTTAATCCCTGGAAGTTTAAGCAAAATCTGCCATCCGGTTTAAGAGGAGTTGCGTTCACAAAATTTCTACATAGTATATAATGAAAAAATCAACAAAGGGCCATAATTCTGTTAAATTTGGTTGCAGCAAAAATTCCTTCCTTTACTACCATCTACACCTTAAGGTTGTTCATCCCTGGAAGTTTAAGCAAAATCTGCCATCCGGTTTAAGAGGAGTTGCATTCACAAAATTTCTACATAGTATTTAGTGAAAAAATCAACAAAGGGCCATAATTCTGTAAAATTTGGTCGCAGCAAAAATTCCTTCCTTTACTACCATCTACACCTTAACGTTGTTCATCCCTGTAAGTTAAAGCAAAATCTGCCATCCGGTTTAAGAGGAGTTGCGTTCACAAAATTTCTACATAGTATCTAGTGAAAAAATCAACAAAGGGCCACAATTCTGTTAAATTTGGTCGCAGCGAAAATTCCTTCCTTTACTACCATCTACACATTAAGGTTGTTCATCCCTGTAAGTTTAAGTAAAATCTGCCATCCGGTTTAAGAGGAGTTGCGTTCACAAGATTTCGGGACGGACGGACGGACTGACTGACGGATTGACGGACGGACAAGTGCAACGCTATATGCTCCCACATTGTGGGGGCATAAAAATACAATTTTTGTTAATTTATTCACATGTTAATTATTAAAATGTCTCTAACTAAATTATTAAAATGTCTCTAATCAAATGTGTTTTTTGTGTGTTTATTTTTTCAATTTTAATGAACATTTTGCAAAAACTACTCAAGGAGAATACATGTAATAGTAAAACTGATTTTAAGGTCAGCAAGCTTAAACAATACAACACATAGCTATATACATAAACTGTAAATTGACAATTCTACATACACTGTAAGCAACAGGATAAACAAAGCAAATATCTTCTTTGTTAATGTTAATTCATACCTGGTACCATTTATGATCTTATTAAAATTGAAGCCTATATAAACTGTAAACCAATAACTTGCTCAATGAAATTGTCCTGCTTTGAATCATACAAAGTCACATTTATAATGTTTCGTGCTTTCTGAACCCTTTTCTTATGTGAACTTGTTGAACAAAACCATTCATCACTGTCAGGGACAACATGGCAAACAGAGAACAGTGTCTGCATGTGTTGGGTGAGTGTGGCCTGCACTGATTGCACTGGTACATTCAGTAACCACTAGCAGAGTTTACCCTTGATCTGCTATATTCTATAATGGATCTTTCCAGCTTTGAATTTGAAACAGTCCATTCAATGTTCAAGGGATTTCAATATCAAAACACAAAAATTGAGCTGCCAACAGTATAGAGCCTGGTCAGACTACACAGATGTATAGGCTGGCCTGGCTCTATACTGTTAGGCAAAGCCTGAACACTTTTGGTTCCAGAAGGTTTCCAGCAAGTTAATGGTAAAGATTACTATTGAAGTTGAAACAGGAAACGTGTGAACTACCAAGGCTACCATTTAACTTTTGCAAGCAAAACAAATTGGTTAAGGGTTGAACTTTTAAATTTTAAAGCAGCTGTATGGGTTTGTAAAATGAGATTTATACCTTCACACAGTGGGTAAAGGCATTTATTTCCTATGCTGGCGAAACCTGATACAAGTTGAATTGTATATGCTTGCAATAAATGATACAGTAATTGGAAGTAAAAGCATAAAATAAAATGATACCAGTCAAATCAAATAGACTTGCAATAAATTATACAATGATTTCAATATTTAACGGATTACATTTCAGTATGTTGAGACATAATAGAGCATCTATACTTACTTTCTTCTGATGGAGGTCTGTTAACAATTCTGTCTTTTTCATTTTGAATTTTCTGAAAGAAATAAGATACAAAATAAACATATTTAATAGTAAAATGACTATACATGATCATGTTATATTGACCAAACCTCCCTTCTTTAACAGTCATTAAACCTTAACCTGCTGGACCTAAGTGATCTGCCTTTGCCACATCTGTGCTATCCGATCCATCTCTATACTGTTGACTGACTACTTTCAAATTCTTGTCTTGATACCCCTAATATTGATGTTGGACAGTTCCAAAAAGGGAAACTGGACAAGTTCATTTATGAAATTCAGCAGGTCAAGGGATAATAATCACAGCTAAATGTTATGTAGCATAAACTCAATTGACTGTTGTTTGGCCAAATTAAATTTTATGAATCATACTGCCTGTCAAAAGCTTATTTTACAAAATACATATATCTTTATCATAATTACATAATAACATGTATTTATCACACACCCGTGCCGATTTTGCAACTCCGTTAAAATGGTATTGCACGGCCGTGCATATATTTTGACGTGACGTCATTAGCGTTATACAAACATAGTGTAAAGACGCGCTAAATGTAAGCGGTATACTATAGGCACGTCAAAAACGACTCTTATTTCACTTTAAACGGTCTTTATTTTGGGTATGTGATAAATAGAATATTAAATTCGTGTAAGTTCATTACTGAATTTATTGCACTCGTTGAATAAAATAATATTATGCTCGCCAGAGGCTCGCATAATATAATTTTATTAAACTCGTGCAATAAATTCAGTATTGAACTTACACTCATTCAATATCCTCTATATATTTAACAGTTAATTCAACAGAAGTACCATAAAGTTGATACAGTTGTGAAGAACAGTTATATTTATTTCCTATGTCATCAATATGAGGTGGCAAGGGAGACAACTCGACTTCCTCTTTGATGTGAAACACTTTTCTGGCTACCAGGATGAATTGTTTTAAAATCCCAGCTTTACCAACATGTTAAGTTATCAACTTTTTAAGGCACTTAAGGGAAAGGTTATACTGAACTATAGTTTCACCTATCTTAATATACTCTTTCCACTTTTCATTTATAATAATATTTATATGAAACATGCTCTGCCAGAATTTAAGTCAGAAGAATTTTGATTGATTTTATAATAGCGTTGCCCTATTACCTTATGGGGCTAAATTAACTTTTAAAGTATTACTGCTAAAACTATTAAAGTGTAATAAAATGATGTTATCTACTCAAGGTGAAGTTTTTCATATCAGGTTGCAACTTAAGTGGATATCAACTTTATCTATACAAACACTTAAAACAAATTATTTCTAAATTAAGTTCCATCAGGATTCATTTTTCACCTTTAAATCACTCTTGATTTCAAATGTTTGAAAACTGCACAAGTGTTTATAATGGCATAATGCTTGATTTTAAGCACCATTTGAGAACATAAGTTTTCAATTTTCTCCACTTTAATTGTAAAATTTTTGTCATTGCATGAGGCAAGGTTAAAACCTTTAAATTCACTAATAAAATCTACATTCCACACCTAAGTATAGAAATCCAATCAGTTATCTTATCCCTTCATACAAGTTCCATTCAGTGAATCATTAATAATTACAATTAGAAATCATTCAATTTTAATTTGAACATATTTATTTATGCATGATTGTGAAACAAGTTCTTGCAACTTAAATTTATCACATTTAAAGTGGGCTTCCTAGAGCAAACCCATCCCGATATTATGTAAGCAATCATGGTAATACCCACAAAACCTTTATTGAGAGTTAGACAGTCACATCCAGTATCCATTAGGCCACCTGAGGCACTGCTCATGTTCATGATATAGCCTAAAATTGTTGTCAAATTTAACTTTTATACAGAACACAGTTATATGTTGTTGAACTTAATCCATCTCAAATTAAAATGTTTGGCAATCTATTCATGCAGAATACTGGTAGCTGATCATGTAAGAGTGGTGCAATTAAAGAGGTAACATAATTATAGAAAGAAGCATCCATCTATATATAATTCAAGAGACACAGTCTTATTTCAAATACTGCAGATTAAAACCAGTCAAAAATTTTAAAAAATGGTAATGGAGCAATTCTTATACCACAAGTAATATTCAAAGAGGTTCGTTTTGATATATCTATAATTAAGCTTACAATATTAGTATTTAAGTATAAAAGACTTTGTAGACATTCAAAACAAAGCCTTTACAACAACAGTTCATCCTAATATTACAGTTTATTTAGTATAAATATTGAAACTTAAACATTTATTGAATTTCGGAAGTGGGCTAACTTGACCTGTAAAATTTAGACCCATGGATCCATATACACCCATATGTCCATTTAGTAAAAACCACTTCATCTGAGACATGTTTCTAATAAAGGCCCCTGCTTGCCTTTATGTTTAGCGAATTTTGTTACTTCTAGACATTTATTAATATGTCAAATAATCCATTCTTTTCAAATCTGTATTGGTAAATGATCAATAGAACAATATAAATGATATATTGATATATCAATGACAGCTCTACTGTAGCTGTTTGTCTTATGACGAGACAAAAGATTTGTGTCTGTTCAAAACAAATGTTACAAAAAAAGTTATATGACTTGCGTACTGCACTGGCAATTGTAAATCAAGCCTTACATGTACCTGGCAAAGTACAAGGGAGGAGTTGCAGGGGAAATGAGTCTTTAGTACTTTAGTTTCTGCCTTCCATTACTCAGATTGAATGGACATAATTGAAACCCCTTTAAATCTTTGTGGCTGAGGAAAATATCACATAGTTTGACGTGTGTCTTGTCTTCTGGTGCTCTTTCCAACAATCACCAAACACCACTCTTACCATCAAGTTACGCTATGATAAGTTTACTTATAAAGATGAACAACCTGGTGCCTTTTTGAAAGGAGATAAAAATAAATGAGTACCTCTAATACCCACAGGCAACAGGGCCAGGTACCCTGATCCAAAAAAACTACCCATGAAGGCCCTAAATATAACTGACATCTGACTATCCAAGCAGGCAAAACCCTTAGCTAAAGGGATTCCTATTTATATCAAACCCCCTGTTTTAGGAACCTAGACATGCATTTCATGTGACTAAATGACTGCTTCCTGTTTTTTCATGTTTTATTGCACTGAGTGTAGATAATGGAAGTGGAATGGAATCTCCCATTTTGAGAAATTTAAACCCACAACCTCAGAGTTAGAGTCAGGTGCTCTACCCCTACATCACTTTTCTGACAAAAATGGAATGACCATTATGCAATTTTAGTGATAATGTTTTTCAACTTATATAACAGAGGCCTCTTCCCAAATGACATTTTCTTTCAAATCAAGCAATTTTTCACAAAATCAAAACTTTCCCTTGTTTTTTTTTTCTTTCCCCAATTCTTCAACTTTAACAAAATCAAAAGGCTAAGGCCATTTCTTAATTAGGTGAGAAAACGCCAAAGTTTTCATTGTCTCCTGAGCTGTGAACCTAAATTTTTGCTGAGCTCATAGGTTAATTAATGTATGATATTATCGACAAATATGATATTACAAAGATTGGTGTGTCATCTCATTTTCTGAGTAGGCCTAAAGTTTAGGTCGAGAATGAAATACTATCATTTTTCACCTGCTCTGAAGTATTAAATGTGGTTCAACACGTCCATCTTTATCACAAATAATTGTACTACGCGTTGAGATATTGTTCTATTTTTTGTATGGCACAGGCCACAAGAATCTATCAACGACACGTCAAAAATATTTTGACAACATCTCTCTCGATGTGAGAATGTAATACTTAATTATACAGAATATGTTCAAACGTATGCCTTTTTCAATCAAAGTTTTGAATTAACATCTTTATTTAATTTAAGTGGATTTTTCATTATCTGCGCAACTTTTCTCCGACGATTAATTGTTATAAAGGGAAGTAACTTTCGTCTCGGTCTTAAACTATCCTGAACCATGAGGTCGTCTGCATGCTTTTGAAATACAGTTTCATATAGGCGGCAATTTTCTTTTATAAAACAAAATTCTTCTACGCTGTATTTTTTTTTTCTTTTTTTCTTTTTTTTTTGGACTTAGAAAAAGTGGCAATCTGGCAATCTTCATTGCCGCATTCATCCATGAAAACAAACGTGCTAACAGTTTTCATTGTTATGGAAAGATTCTAAATCTATATCAAGTTTTTTTAATCTGTCATTGCTCTATTAATGAAATTTGAAATATTATTATTATTATTATTATTATTATTATTATTATTATTATTATCATTATTATTATTATTATTATTATTATTAAAATGTCGAGCATATAGCAAAGATCGCATTCCTGTTTGTAATTTCGATTTTAAATATATAGTTAATAGTCACAAATATTCGTACTGAACCATATTATTTCTCAGCACCTGTGTTTTATAAAAAAAATTGAACAGGAAAAAAAAACATTTCAAATATTCTATAGCCTTCTCACTACGATAATTTTGATAAGAATGAATTAATATGTTTTCTACTATATTCAGTTTCTATTAATCTTATTATATAAAATAGTGGACGAGACGCAAGGTTTCACGCTTGACTTGTCCGCAGAATAAATGGTATTAAATTTAAATTTTATTATAAAAGTATTAATTTGAGCATTATTGTCATAAATATATCAAAAATGTGTTCGTTTTAAAACATTCTATTTTCTCTCCCGTTATAAAGATGTTTATAACAAATATGTCGAACGTGGGTAAATATATCCAAATATTTTTTTTCTGTAACGACTGTATCATGGAGATAATTTATATAAACGTTAGATAGAATCTAAGATATTTTTTTTTATTTATTTTATCCGTGAAAAATAAGGTATTGCGAAAGATAGAGGCGTACGTATAGCAGACCCTAGATTTATTGTACAGATTTAGTATTTACACAACTTGATTAATTTATATGCCATAAAGTTGTTATTTACATATATTGTTGGTCTAGCCTACAAATGGTAAAATCAGCTCAGATATTTTAGTTCTTACATATTGCCCCATATCTTATACAAACAGCTGTTTAACTTCACTAACCATTATTTTGTGATTTTTCAAACAATTGTGCGCACTGCGTGTAAATAATCAACATATTTGTATCACAATATATTGTCATTAAACGTCTTTATCTGGCAAATACAATCAATTTTCGTTTAATATTCTCTTAATTCCAGGTTTTATGTGTTTCATGAATCTCATATAAGTACAAGAAAATGCGAAACTCTTAAATTGTACGTGCATTCATGAAACCTTAAATGATGCAATATAATTAAAACCTGATTATTTAGTTTTGTTATCTTGACAGGGATTGTCTTTCATGTGAAGATACTTTCTTGCTAGCTTTCGGAAAGCCGGTGGTTCTACTAAGGTGCCCGTTCGTGCCTGAAATAATGCACGGAAGGGCATCTGAGGTCTTCGTTGTAATGTCGCCATATGACCTATACTGTGTCGGTGTGACGTAAAACAGTTACTAATGAACGTTTGCCTTCCTGGCAAAAGATATTTAATTCTATTTTATATGCGAGAAGACTATCCTCTTATCATTTATCATTTGTTACTGTGTATTTATTATATATATTTCTCACGTGTATTTGGATATATCTAACTACATTGTCTATGTTTTTAATAGTAAAAAATCGAGGCATATAATGGACCGAATTCCTAGTAACTTTACCAGCCCTTTTGTAAAGTGGGTCAGAAAAGATACCGATTGTCGCTAGATCAGATATCTGAATTATTATGTATTCATTTGATAATACCGCAATAACCATTCTCTCAATTCTGAATAAGTTTTATCTTTTTATTTTTTTTTTTGAGGACTAAGTCAGAGGCTTATATCTTGGATTATTTTTTTATTTCATTTTGGTTTGTTTGACGATGTTCATGTTGATAATTGAAGAAAAAACAAAACTTTTTGAACAAAATGGCACATTTGGACTCTTTAAGTTTAGCACTTAGTCACCAACTTATAGATTCAGCTATCATAAACGTGTTTAACAAAATTATTTTGTTATACAAAAATCCACGGAAGCGTCTATAAATATTTACACCATATAATAGTTGTAAGAAAGTAAATAGCTCTTTGTTAACGCTTTTAGAAAATTGCCAAAATTGAAATATTCTCGATGACGGGATTTCAAATAAACTTTTTTATGTTCAATGTTCATTATGCCCAATAGAAAACCCAATAATAGAAATCAATCGATTTTTATAGGATTGCTAGATGATGCGAGATGAATAGGCGCGCATTTAAATCAACTTTATGTAAAGTGACTTCATATAGGCTTTTAAACTTGATTTTATAAGATACAGGACAGTTTAAGTATGGCTGCTTGGTTTTTCTTATCATTCAATGTATTTGTATTTTCCATTAATTCATCGTAATTTGGAACGATTATTTTCTGCATGATTATCAATAATCTTGTTTTTCTTAATTTTTTATCAGTCCAGTTGCTAGGGAAAGTTTCTCTCTATTTATAAAGATGTACTCTCTTAGAGTACGCCAGACACCACTTATTTCGCTTCCAAGATTAACCCAACCCCTTAAAATTCGTAAAAACGACATGCTTGTATAATTAGTCAGAATGACATGTTATTGTTTTGGATATCAGCGTTATGTTTACATTAAAACAATGGTTCTAATATCGACTGAATAGTTTCGAAAGTCAAATATAGTGTCAAATTACGTCCCAATTAACCAAGTGTGTATATAAACGTTTATTTGAGACAGTAGGAAAAAATATGAAAGTTGTTCTTTCTTAACAAGAACAACAACAATATCAACAACAACAAACAGCGAATTACCAAAGTAACCGTATAGTACAGTTTGAATTAAGTTTACTTTGAGTTAAGGTAACTCAACAAATTGTGAAACAGAATAAAAGATGATCAAGAGGTTATGATGAACGTTCAGCATTAGAAGTCTCCCTTAAAACAGCAGCAGTTTTAATCTAAAGATGGTTTCTGAAAATATAGCGCTAGCCACAAACCAGAACTATTAAGCTCAAGCTATAACAATTATCAAACGTTTATAAGCATTACTCTTCGAGTTCTTCCTAGAGTACAAGAATGTTTAAAATACCAAGAAAAAATGAACCAGTTCGTGAAAACGAAGTTTCGATGGGGTGATTTAGGAATAAATCTTGTTAGAACAGATCGTTTTGAACTGGAATCTCTAACATGGAAGGTAGTCGTATATTGACAGGAATTTTGGTTTATGTCCCCGTTTAAGGTTTTTTACAATATAAAATATGTCTTATTTAATTTACAAAATTTATCATAAAATAGAAGCAAACCTGCTGCACGAGTTTCATCTTTAACCGGGTCATGTGATCATAGACACTGTCCGTCTCTGGCCGCTGCCCCATCTCCGGCGACGCCATTTTACCTTTTTCTCTCTCTTTATATTCAGAAAAAAAGTCTTTAAATCACAATTGTAACTTTAACACCTCCAAAACAAATATCCGTCATTTAAGCATCTTAAAAATTGTATTTCCTTACATTTAAAATAAGAAAATATCGCGGTTGAAACTTTTCATATATCATAACATAGTTTTATCAGCGCGATAGAGAAGCTTTCATTGACAGGTTGTACAAATCGGAAAACATGTATTCAATGCCTTCACGTTGGTGTTTACAAATCAATACCTATTGAACTCATTTAAAATTCTTCAACTGTACATTTTTATTTCAATTCATTATCATTATGTATAAAGAAGTTTGGACGGTGTATAAAACAAATAGTGCCGTTGGCTTTTTTGTCACTTTCGTACAAAGACAAATTAATCTACAAGTTTTGACCCCCACTTTTTCTGTTCCCGACACTTGTGAGCTACATGGATTTGAAAATAATAGAATTTCTTATCGTATCTGAATTATTTTCTAATTAAATGCTGTTAATGTTTATTCAAACATATTAATCTGTTCAGGCTGTCCATTGTTATCTATCTTTATTTTCTAACCAAGTTACAGACAATTGGCAAGCTAAAATATGCGGATCGTCATTTTTACATCATTATTTTATAAGGCTGACGGCCTATGTTTGAATCTCAGGCATACCATGGCGAACTCCCTCACGAGTTAATATCTTTTATTCAATCATATGATATTGCTTTAGAAGGCGTTTATAAAACTATTCTCGAACCTAATACATTTAAAATCATTCCTCGATGTTTTTTGTTGTCTTAGTTTTTTGTTTGTTTGTTTGTGTTTTTTTTTTTTGTTATAATGTTGTGTAGAAGTGGAGAAAATAATGCTTTAACTCTTTGCGTTGATTCCTGTAAACTGTTTTAACTTCATTCTTTGAAGTAGTAGGAATAATTTACGAAATCTTATTTTGATAAGCTTCACATTCATACGCAAATCGTGAAAATTACAACCACAGTATATTATATAATTCTTATTAAGTTATTTAAATTCAACTTTTAGCATTATAAGATCTACAGGCTTTGATTAAATTTAATGTTATCTACATTTGATTTGAAACAGAGATTGACATGGTAATCCAGCCCTATTGGCAAACTTTTGCTGAATAACGAATTTACAGAACATATGTCATATTATTGATCAAAAATATAGAAATAAATATCCATATTTTTTATAAAAGTATTAATGTTTGTATTCATATGGTATAGTAAAGTAACATGAAAGTACAAACATAATTGAGTTCTGGGTTAGAAATCCGTACTTATTTCCAAAATAGTGTGTGAAAATGTTATTTCTTATTGGTTCTGTATCAATAAATAACAATCTGTTACGACTTTAAAATATTGCAAAACTGATTTAGAAATGACGCCAAATATCTAAATAAGGTTTGCCACGACGGTGTATCTAAGATACCATTTTTTGGTCTAGCGGACACGACTTTCAGATTTGTCAGGTAAGTGCAGGAGGATCGTGTGCTGTGAAGAGCCAGTTATCTTCTGCAAAATTAAACGTCTGAGCAAATCAACCGGGTAAAAGTAAAACCTTAGCACCTTGAGACGGTTCAAGTTTTTTTTCACGCTAACCCCTTTTCAGAAATTGGACTTACTAATGATAAAAGAGTATCAGCACGAGATTTATGGTGGGTAATGGACATAAATGATTGACAATAACGACCGCTCAATTTAGAAACAGTGTCTTGAACATGCATCGGTCTTCAAAGATGTTCTCTTGGCGCTCAGAGGGACCTCAGTTTATACATCAATTTTCAAAATTATTATCATCATTATTTTTATTATTAATACATGTAATAATATTACACAGTTACTTCATTCCAGCGGGTGAATAGGGTTTAGCCGGAACCACTCAAATTCTATTTTAACACTGCACAAACTCTTGAATCAAACTTATTAAAGTTAATCGTCAGTAAAATTGTGTATGAAAGTACTGTGAGGGAAACGAACAATGAAATTTTGCCTGTCAAAACTAAGAGATTCATCGATCCCTGGAAAAGGTTATGATATTCAACACAGAAATAAGTCATTCTGTCATAGTTAGGCAAAACCATTTTTTGACTGAAAGGCCATTATTCACACGGCACTTTTCAATGCCAAATATTCAAGATGGCCATGTAGTTCGGAAAAAAAGACTGAAATAAGTTTTCCTTGATAAGTCTATGTAAAACAAGCAAATTCGTTGAATTTATATCCCCCGCCGAGTACTGGTTATTACTAACACAACAACTGAAGACATAAGGCTTTATTTATATATATATCATGGCATAAACAGTAATATTCTTTGAACTTGATAAATATTCAGGGCAAAAACAGAGCCATAACTCTGTGTTAAATAGTAATATATGGAAATGCCAATGAGATGTATGCATACTGCATAACTAATCAAGGGCCATAAATCTGACTTATAAGTGTCTGACCGGAACGAGGTGATGATATGCCCATCTCCTCTTGGTATTGAGTTTCATTGAATTCCAGCCAGTAGTTGCAGAGGAGTAGCGCAGAAACGAATATTTTTCTATATGCATACTGCACAACTAATCAAGGGCCATAACTCTGAGTTAAAATGTCTGACCCCAACAAGGCAATGATATGCACATCTTCTCTTGGTATTGAAGGCTCCCATAAAGTTTTGTTGAATTCCAGCCAGTAGTTGCAGAGAAGTAGCACGGAAATGATTTTTGCTCTATATGCATACTGCATAACTAATCAAGAGCCATAACTATCCAGCTAGCTTACCGAACGTCGGTCGTTCTACTCAGGTACCCGTTCATGCCTGAAATAATGCACGGAAGGGCACCTGAGGTCTTCCTCCACCAGTAAAGCTGGAATGTCGCGATATGACCTATACTGTGTCGATGTGACGTAAAACCCAAAAACAAACAAAAACAAAATAAACAAGAGCCATAACTCTGAGTTAAAGTGTCTGACCAAAACAAGGTGACGATATGCGCATCTCCTCTTGGTATTGAAGGTTCCAATAAAGTTTTGTTGAATTCCAGCCAGTAGTTGCAGAGAAATAGGGCGGAAATGATTTTTGCTCTATATGCATACTGCATAACTAATCAAGGGCCATAACTCTAAGTTTAAGTGTCTGACCGGAACAAGGCGACGATATGCACATCTCCTCTTGGTATTGAAGGTTCCCATAAAGTTTTGTTGAATTCCAGCCAGTAGTTGCAGAGAAGTAGCGCGGAAATGATTTTTGCTCTATATGCATACTGCATAACTAATCAAGAGCCATAACTCTAAGTTAAAGTGTCTGACCCAAACAAGGTGACGATATGCGCATCTCCTCTTGGTATTGAAGGTTCCCATAAAGTTTCGTTGAATTCCAGCCAGTAGTTGCAGAGAAGTAGCGCGGAAATGATTTTTACTCTATATGCATACTGCATAACTAATCAAGGGCCATAACTCTGAGTTAAAGTGTCTGACCCAAACAAGGTGACGATATGCGCATCTTCTCTTGATATTGAAGGTTCCCATAAAGTTTCGTTGAATTCCAGCCAGTAGTTGCAGAGGAGTAGCGCGGAAACAATTTTTACTCTATATGTATATCTCTGAGTTAAAGGGTCTGACTGGAACAAGCTGACAATATGCGCATCTCCTCTTGATATTGATGATTCCCATAAAGTTTCGTTGAATTCCAGCCAGTAGTTGCAGAGGAGTAGCGCGGAAACAATTTTTACTCTATATGTATATCTCTGAGTTAAAGGGTCTGACTGGAACAAGCTGACAATATGCGCATCTCCTCTTGATATTGATGATTCCCATAAAGTTTCGTTGAATTCCAGCCAGTAGTAGCAGAGAACTAGTCTGGAAACGAAATTCAGACGGATGGATGGACAGACGAACAGAAGGATGGACGGACGAGAGACAGATAACGCCAAAACTATATCCCCCTCCCGATTCCATCGGTGGGGGATAATAAGTGACCCACAGAATGGGGCTTACTTTGATCCCGTGGCATGACTTGTACAACAGTTGTAGGGGACCAAAAGGTGTCGTTACAAATTACCTAAGCTCTGGTGCATTGCTTTTTGATGAGAAAAATAATTTTATATATGTTAACGACGCAAGTCTAAATTATACACAATTTGAGATGTTCACTATGCAATACTACATGCCAGACATCTAAGCCCTATTACATGCAACTTCTGAGGAAAAAATTAAATCTGTTTTCCTATATAGGTCCTTGTAAACCAGGGGACCCAGAGGATGAGGCAAATTTTAGCCCGGGGGGGGGGGGGGATTTATATACATTTTTAAAAGATCACAAGGTGATGTGATGCTTATTGCAGTTTCTAAGGCAAGGATATTTTATGGTTTCATTTTTAATTAAATTTTCAGCCATTTATGCATCAGAATGGAACTATTTATATTTCTTTTGCATTCCTTACAAATTTGGTCAAAATCTACCAAGTGGTTAAGAACAGAACATTATTTTATTTACAGACTTAAACATATGTGCATCATCTTGTTAACTAACATATGGCAGTTGGAAACATACAAGTTATAAACAACTTTTTTAATAACAAAACAAACAATGATATAAGTGGACAAACTTTATGTGAGAAGAAAATAACATATAAATGATGTAGATTTAATAACTGTGTTAGATTCTTGGATATATTCTGATAACTTGGAAGATACACATATTATGTTTGAAGAAATTTGGATACCAATGGACATCATGCTATCATAAAAAGAAGCACTTTTCAGAAACTTAAAAAAATCCAAAACAGACTCTGTTGCCTGCTCTATAACTGACAGGGCTTAACAGTTTTCAGTCTGGTCCTTGTTGATGGATAATGAGTGAGCTAATAGATAATTTGTAATTAAATTATCTTTTCAATTTTAAACTTTCAAGTGTTTGTTTTTGGGGTTTAAGTCATCCACCCTGTAATGATCATATGACAACTTTCCAGCTTTACTGGTGGAGAAAAACCTAGGATGCCCTTACTTGGCATAATTTCAGGCACAAACAAGCACCGATGTTGAATCACCAATGTTCCATAACCTTGCTTTCTCACATGAAAGAATAAAAGCAGTCAGCAGTGTAGATTCCATTTAGACTGCATTATAATTAGTTTACCTTCATACTGCAAGCATAGACCTACGATTATCACCATCACAAGCTATACATAAGTTTAGGGCACATTGCTTTATCATTCAAGTTTTAAGTGAAAAATAAAACCAAGCAGCAAAAGAACAACTGATATTTTGAAAAAAATACAACACAAATCAATATTGTTCACCCAATTAGTATTTCACCATGTACTTGTACTAAATATCTTAAATTATTGATATTTTGGCGACATTTCTAAATGCTACAGACATATTCCCTATTCTTTGCCGATAACATATAATCAGACTAGCCTTCATATCTACAGTCTGCCCAAACCATATTATTGGCTACATATTTGCAGCTTTTTAAACTTGGATTTTCTAAACCCCTTATTAATTACAATGAAGAGGTCCAAATTCAAAACGAGCTTAGTTAACTACATGTATATAAGTTTAGCTGTGTAAGTATTATGTAAGTATCAGCTAGTCATTTTAGGCAATTTGCCCAAATCTTATAAATTTATTAATTTATATATTTTTTTTTCATTTTCAGATCAATTCAAAAAAGAAATTAGCTTCTAGTCCAAGCATAAATCAAAACACCTTTATTCTTTATTCTATAAAATTTATTTTCACTTTAATTTTTTGTGAGACATTCGTAAAAAGTCCACTTCTATATCCACAGATTTTTTCTTGTGACATTTGTAGGTGTTTTCAATGTTAAATTTAAGTTCAGCAATGATTTCCAAATCCACATTCCAATCTGATGCCTTCTTCTGGATGTGCTGAAAATAAAGAAAAATGAAATAAGAATCTTACAGTCAGATCATCTCTATGATGATTTTTTTCCCTTCTTGTTTTCCACACAAACACAACTTTGAAGTTTGAAGCATGTGTAAATTTTAAAAGGCTCCTACGCCAAATTGCTTAAGGTAAACAGCAAAGACCTTGAATAACTTGCACGCTGATACTGTGTGACCTTTACCTAATTTGGCTAGAGATGAATTCTTTAAATATGAGTTTAGAAGTTGTAGATAGGTTAATGTTTCTATGTGAAATAATGCACTTGCACACATATATATACTAGTACCTGGAATCTTTCTCCACATGCAAAGCTGAGAAGTTGCTATTTGTATATGACATGCACTGAGTTGGTGTAACATTTTTATTATGTATAGTTGAGTTAAATAACCTTCATCATGATTACAACTGTATCAGCCATCATTCTGTGAAATTTAAATATTCTAAGGTGATGGTGTAGTTATCAATTCCGGATCACAGCAGTAAACCACATTGAATTTATAAGAGAACAGTTCAGTCACCGCAACGTTCCTGGGTAGACTGTCAAGCAGTTTACCTGTATTAGTTGTCTTCACTTTCGCAAGGAACTGTACATGCTAGAGCAGAGGTACAATGCGAATGACTGTAGAAAGGAATTCAATCACAATGAAAGTGATCTTCACCATCCAGGAATTGAAGCCTGGTCGCCCGATTTAGTCCAAAGCTCTAACTATTGAGCTAACCGTACAGCTTATATTCTTACCTCCCTTGTATATTTTATAAAATGATGCTTGTATATAATTTACAAATTTAAAATGTATTATCTCCCTTGTTAACTTATATATTGCCATTTGTGATACATACAAATCTGTTACTCTATTTCATGAACATTTCTTATTTTTGATATAAATTTTTAATGAAAGAAAAGTTGTTTAAAAACTGTATGAGATCCTTTGATTTATGTTGGTTTATGTCAACCACCTTACATTTTTTTCCCAGATTGAAAATATTAAACCATTCAATTTAAATGAACAGTTCCACCAGGCTAAATTAATTCATACATGACTTACCTCCCTTGTTGATGTTTTATGTAGGGAATATACAGCTGTTGATGCCAGATCCAGTGCTGTCTTCAGAAACACCATATCAATACCTTGAGTTATAGAAAAAGGAATAACAAATTTATGCCCCATTTATAAATTCTTAATTGACAAAATCAGTCAGATTCTGCATAAATCTTATAAAAAATATAGCACTGACAAACAGCTTTCACTGAGAAAATAATATAAAAGAAAAATAAGATATCTCAGTTTAGATATTAGGGAAGCTACATAAAGTATCATAAATACACTTGATTGCATGTTGAAAAATTCAAAAGTAAAAGTGTGTACCAAGCAAGAACTCTACTTAGGTGACCAACAGACGCCAACTGGTAAGTTTACAAGAAAATAACATAGACAAAAACAGAACTTCACACCAAAATTGCTTAAAAAGGACCATTTACCAGGTACATCTAAGTTCTTTTGAGAAATTATTGAATTCATTCAAAAAAACATAGATACCAGCATTATGTTTTGTTCCAAATGGAGGATTCATTATCACAGTGTCAACATTGCCCTTTAACCTTTCCATGACCTCTGACTCCAGGGCTGTTACATCATGTTGCTCAACTTCAATATTCTCCATTTCAAACTCCTCTATATTCTGTTTACATATAGCCAAAGCATCTTCATCTATATCTAATGCTGTTACTTTTCTAGAAACAGAAACACCAACTTTTCTTATATATACATGCATATGCTATTTTTCTAGAAAAAAACCAAACTTATTTTGGCCATCCAAAGGCATACATTGTATTTATTTGATATCAAAACTATATAATAACAATAGTTTCACATTAAACTACACCAATTCCCACAACAGCAAGTGGTAAAAGTCTCAACTTGGTGCCTTCCGGGTGCCCTACTTGGGTGTGTCGGGGCTGCGTCCTGTGAACATTGCCTTTGCCTTCTTGACCTTTATTCTTGTCTTTTGTAATTTACTGTCATTTTTTTGTCTTTTTTATAACTATTATTTTAGGGGTGGTTGTGAAAATAATTAGTTTAAAACAGTATTTCTGACAAATATTGACATTTAATAAATCTCTAAAAAGCTTAATCAGCGTAAAACCGTGTTATGGATGAGATTCAAACTTCCGCCAACATCCCTGACTGGATTCAAAACCACAGCAGTGGTTTAAAGTCAACAACCTTAACTTCTCGGCCACGGACAACCCTCACATATTACTAATTTTATCACATAAGAATCTAGTTAAAGATAAGGAAAAATTAAAAGATTCATTCTCACTTGGCTCCCAGCATCACAGCCCCTATACTTAAAACACCACAGCCACAGCCAAGGTCTAAAACATGTTTATCAGCTACATCATCATAGCGGGTATGTATTGTGTGAAGCATACAAGCTGAAATATTGTTTCCTTCTATATATTGTACATATTGTAAAAATTGACAGGAATAAAATATGTTTAAACTAAATATTGTTGAATCATTATTCACTCAGTTGGTATTCATTGATTTATTTTTTATTTTGTGGTTAGAAAATTATCATATTTTACTTGTGACTACTACCACTTATGAAATATCTATTTTCATACCACTTGATGAAAACAAACATGGTATTTATAGAAAAAATTGAATTTCCTCCATATATTTTTTGTCAAAATAAAACATTCTATTTAGACAGCCCAAAATATTTCACACATACATTACCTGCAATATGTGGAGTTGTAGGATACTGTTCCAGTTTTATCTTTGGATTCTCAAACACATCAACATCATCCAGGTATGATTCCAACTCCTTTAATTTATGGGCTTTAGCCATATTTCCTGAAAAGAAATATAAGATGTACATTTAGGCCTAAATCTAGGTTAAAGCACATAGTTATTTTTCTTCTTCTTTGGTTGTGATTGTGTCTTGTAATCATATTTAAAGACATTTTAATGCCTCAGAAACTTAACATTGTTTCTTTGTTTAGAATGAGAAAAAATATTTTTTATAATGTTTAAATAATGGTTTTAGTGCATAGTAGATGTTAATCATCAGGAAAAAGTAGCAGGAAATAGATATCAATTCTGAGTGAATTGTTGAAGAATAATGTATGGTTCCAGTTCAAATGCATAGAAGGCTGATATAGGCCCGAGTGATTAATTACAAAGCATTTGAATGAAAAACTGTGCATTATTTTACTACAATGCACAGTAACTAATATCTGTTTCCATTCTAACACATTAAGAAAAAATATAAAGTTGGACTATTTGTTTGGTGGTTATTAACCGTTAAATTAATTTTTGCCATAGAGTTTCAACAAAAACATTCTTTAAAGTCTGTTCCAGTCGGTTCATAAAAACTGCAGAAAAATGTAATATTATTTGTCATGAAAGTAGCAAAATGTAAACCAGGTAGTATTTTGATATCCATACACAATACCAAAGCACTATAACTTACTGTACAAATTGCCAAATGACATAAGCATACATTTTCATAGTTATCATTTTCATTTTTGTGTATGATAGTCCTTAAAACATAGACATGGAAGTGTAATTGCAAATGGTACATCATTTTACATTGTGAGCTTTGTTGTGATATGAATTTTGGCCTACTTTCACTTTTGACCCACTTAGTGAAAAAACAAACGTGGCTGACAAAGCAGAATCACCTTAAGTATTCTACATTTCTAAAAGTTGGTTTCAATAAGGGTAGAATTCCAAATTATTTAACGTCTTGTTCCGATTCCGAGATACTTTGTCTTGGACGGGGTCAGAATTTCTAAACAGATATTACCCAAACAAAAAATGAGTATCCAAAATGCAGTACAGTCTACAGATGCACGCTAGAGTCTATGCAAATAAAAGTTTAGCCAAGCCTTATAAATTACCCGTGTTACATTATTGGAAGTGGCTAGCCATACGGGCCCGTACGGCTAGCCAAAAGTTCTAGCCGTACGTGAGTCACGTACGACTAGCCTGGACACACTGTATTGGCTAGCCGTACGGCACTTTTCAAAATTATATGGAAGTCGAAAATGCATATGTTATTTTGTGTCTTTAAACGACGATTTTAATCAAATCTCCGCATTTGTCCTAGTGTGTTCACTTTAATAAAGATGCTCCGCAATTTTGCAAATGAATTGTTAAATCTGTTAATTAAGCACATGGATCGAATAAATAATGATCGGAGGGGAATAAATAAATAAATAAAAAGAATATTAAAAACAAGAACTGTCGGAGGACAGTAACGCTCGACTATTCGAAAATTTGTCACAAGGGTGTTTCATTGAGTATAATAATGCTTACCTATATGAATAAATAAAATTGTACGAAAAGGAACAAACCCTTCAAGTTTCAATACAATCACAGAGAACAAGTCTGTGAAGTTTCAATCCATTCCCTTCAGTAGTTATGGAGATACCAGCTTACACGCAAAAACTTAACCAAGAATTTCTAAGATAAAAAAGTGGCATAATTATGCAAAAAAGCAATCAGAGTTATGGGACTTGTGCCAATCATCTTAGATAATCACAGAGACCAAGTGTGTGAAGTTTCAATCCATTCCCTTCAGTAGTTATGGAGATACCAGCTTACACGCAAAAACTTAACCAAGAATTTCTAAGTCGAACAAGGGGCATAATTATGTAAAAAAGCAAATCAGAGTTATGGGACTTGTGCCAATCATCTTAGATAATCACAGAGAACAAGTGTGTGAAGTTTCAATCCATTCCCTTCAGTAGTTATGGAGATACCAGCTTACATACAAAAACTTAACCACGAATTTCTAAGTCGAAAAAGGGGCATAATTATGTAAAAAAGCAAATCAGAGTTATGGGACTTGTGCCAATCATCTTAGATAATCACAGAGAACAAGTGTTTGAAGTTTCAATCCATTCCCTTCAGTAGTTATGGAGATACCAGCTTACACGCAAAAACTTAACCAAGAATTTCTAAGTCGAACAAGGGGCATAATTATGTAAAAAAGCAAATCAGAGTTATGGGACTTGTGCCAATCATCTTAGATAATCACAGAGAACAAGTGTGTGAAGTTTCAATCCATTCCCTTCAGTAGTTATGGAGACACCAGCTTACATACAAAAACTTAACCAAGAATTTCTAAGTCGAAAAAGGGGCATAATTATGTAAAAAAGCAAATCAGAGTTATGGGACTTGTGCCAATCATCTTAGATAATCACAGAGAACAAGTGTGTGAAGTTTCAATCCATTCCCTTCAGTAGAGTATGGAGTATGGAGATACCAGCTTACATACAAAAACTTAACCACAGGGACGCCGACGCCGACAAATGGGTGACTGCATTAGCTCGATTATTCTACGAATAGTCGAGCTAAAAACGGTGAAAAGGAAAAATAATTTAATAATGCAAACTTTCCTTAATGATGGACGATGAACAAACTTCTATACCGTCGGTATTTGACGCAATTATCAGAGCCCGACAACAATCCCAGCAAACAAAAGACGTTGTACCAACGTTGTACTAACGTTAGACCCTGACGTTGGGTAAAAGTTGGCAGAAGGTTGGATTTGAAAGTTTTTTAGACGTCAGAAACCGACGTCTATACAACGTCACAAAATGACCTTTATCCAACCTTTTCTGACCATAATCCAACCTTTTCTGACCATTATCTGACCATAATCCAACCTTTTCTGACCATTATTTGGACATAATCCAACCTTTTTCTGACCATAATCCAACCTTTTCTGACCATTATCTGACCATATGCCAACCTTATCTGACCAAATTTTCTGACCATGATTTAACCTCATTCAAAACTTTTGGAATATGATTTTTTTCATTTTAAAGCTCTTTAATAGGGTTAATAAATAAGCATTCTTATGATTTTAGCAATTTATTTTATACTCGGAATCACAAGTACAAAAAAAGAAATGTGGTACTATAAAAAATGCAAGATTTACATAATATTTTTTGAAACTATTAAACTTGACGGTATGTACTTTTATAACGCTTCATGTATTAATTAAGCATGTTTTAGAAATAAGATAAACAAAATCCTTCTTGCATATTAACACTGACATTTTATATAGCAAACATCCATGCATGTGTTTTTTCTTATATCACCACTGAACTGATCACTCTGAGTTTGGGATTTTTCAATCACCTATCCAACTCACTGATTGTATATTTGTCTTTGTATTTTATAACTGAATCTAGATCTGAATGTTAAATGGAACAATATTCTGAATATTTTGTTATAACTATAAATAGCAATGTTCATGTATCTTAATTAGTATTCTTCTTTCGTCCTCCTCCACTGTGTCAATCTGGGGCATACTTTAAGCGTATCATTACCATCTCCAACCTGAGATCTCATCACTCTTTCTGAAATTAAAAAAACAAGAGCCATGTCAACATGGCCATCCCCCGCCGAATGTGTTTGCTCATTGGAAGAATGTATATGTAGTAGAGCAGAACAATTCCATTTTAAGAGGTCTTTTGGTAATGAAAACTGATGGCTATAGTGATTACAGATTTGAAACCTATGTGAATACTGATGGCTGAAAATAAAAAAGGGCAATAACTGAAAAATAATGCAGGGTAGGTTATCATCCTTGTGTGCTGCATCCCTCCTCAGTAAAATCTATCCACCTATGAAGTTTCAAGTTGATACCTCAAATACTTTTTGAGAAAAAAATTGAATTGAAAAATTAAGTATGAAAAATAACAAAGGGCAATAACTCAAAAATTATAAAAGGTACAGTTATCATTCTTGTGCAGTGCACACCTCCTGAGTGAGATCTATGCACCTATGAAGTTTCATTTTGATATCTCAAAGGCTTTTTGAGTTATGCTCTGGACAAAAATTAATTTTGAAAAATAACAAAGGGCAATAACTCAAAAATTATAAAAGGTAGAGTTATCATTCTTGTGCACTGCACACCTCCTGAGTGAGATCTATGCACCTATGAAGTTTCATTTTGATATCTCAAAGGCTTTTTGAGTTATGCTCTGGACAAAAATTAATTTTGAAAAATAACAAAGGGCAATAACTCAAAAATTATGCAGGGCAGAGTTATCATTCTTAAGCACTGCACTCCTCCTCAATGAGATCCATCCACCTATGAAGTTTCAAGATGATACCTCAAATACTTTTTCAGATAAGCTCTGGACAAAATAGCATGAAAAAAAACAAAAGTGCAATAACTCAAAAATTGTATAGGGAAGAGTTATCATTCTTGCGCACAACATTTCTCCTCAATAAGATCTATCCTTCTATGACATTTCATGTTGATATCTCAAACACTTTTTGAGTTATGCTCCGCTCAGGTGAAAAATTAGGTATGAAAAATAACAAAGGGCAATAACTCAAAAATTATGAAAGGAAGAGTTATCATTCTTGTGCACTGCACACCTCCTGAGTGAGATCTATGCACCTATGAAGTTTCATGTTAATATCTCATAGGCTTTTGGAGTTATGCTCTGGACAAAAATCAATTTTGAAAAATAACAAAGGGCAAAAACTCAAAAATCATGCAAGGTAGAGTTATCATTCTTGTGCACTGCACTCCTCCTCAATGAGGTCTATCCACCTATGAAGTTTCAAGTTGATAACTCAAATACTTTTAGAGATATGCTCCGGACAAAAATTTCGGACGGAAGGACGGACGGACGGAAGGACGGAAGGTCGGATGGACGGACGGACGGACGGAGACTATTACTATATCCTCCGCCGAAAATTTTCGGCGGGGGATAATAAAATAATCAGTTACAAGTGCAAGAAATAAATCACTTTTACATATTATAATTAAAAGAAATTCTAACAAAACTCTCCAACTACTTATAAAGATACTTATTATTTTTAATTTAGTTTAAACCATGTTGTTTCGTGTACCTTCTGTATATATCTATTAATTTTGATAAAAATGGCTTCGTGAATTTCATTATAAAATCAAGGGTAATAAGATCACTGTATTTTCTATAATATTTTGAAATATACCTGTCACAAATCTTGGTAGGTTTTCATTTTTCTTTTCCTCTAAATATTTTCATCTTCCTCCTGAACTTTTGACACATGTTGAATTATCATCATTTTCACAATCTGAAAGACGAAATATAATCGTTTTAGAATTTAACCATGTGATGGAAGGATGTTTGTCTAATACAATAGGCAAAATCCAATTTCTATTAATCTTAGTTAACTCATAAGCGCATGGAAAACTGATATAACAAATACCAAATTTATTCTACTCCCGCAAAAATTGATATTGTTATTTTTTATATTCAATGTACTTTGTACAAATGCTCATACAACATCAAAGAAATTCACATGTTACTGTCATTTTTATAGATATCATCTCTGCCCAGCATGATCTGGTCTGCTAAGTGTATATAGGACAGACTGGCTTAGTGTAAAAACGTTTTATGATACGAGCATACAACTTTTTGATAAGCAGGCTAATTAACAAACTATTACTTTTATTGATTTATAACTATGATAATGTGTTTTCTGATTGATAATATGTTGTTTGATTACATTAATAAAAAGATAGCTAGTCAAATACAATGTGCTTTCAGATATATTTTACCAAAGTCGTATCATTTACATGTATCAAATGCCATGAATCATTATCATAATATAAGAAACACATGGTATGCAAACAGTATGGGTAAAGTACTTCAATTAACAATGAGTAGTTTAACAACTACACAGATATCAAAATCAAACTGCATCTGATGCATAACATTTGTAAATGACTGGCCCCTCATATAAGGGAAATTCATGTTGATAAGAAATAAGAGGACATTTTATTTACCAGCATTTGAATATTAAGAGTCTTACGTACTGCATTTAACTTTTTATTGATTTCAATTGCTAGGATATTTCCTACCATTGATTGTGCATTTATTTGGCATGACGATATAGTGAGGGAAAAATGATCCGATTAATATACAGACTGTTCTATAGCAAATGATAAAGTGTTCTTACATGTATGTGGAAACAAAAATATTTATCTTGCAAAATCACGTGACATTAAGTTTTACCAGTCAAACATTTCAATGATCAAATAACCATCGAATCCATGCAAACATGCGGTAAATAAGCATCGAAAAACAATATACAATGTTTGCCTACCTTTTTCTTTTGTTTGGAATATATACAACTTTGTCTGTCAACCCGTCGTTTTTTTGTCCGCCAATACAATTGAATTTCAAATCCGATAAGTCGCATATTCGAATTTACTAAATTATTTACCACTATAAAATGAAGCCCTCAAAAATGATAACAACTTCATTGTAAATTATATAAACACTTCTTAGACTAATTCGAGGAGATAAAATATTATTTAAACGAAAATAGAGCAAATATATTTCATACTGATCTGCGTCTATCCGTTTACAGAGCGCCACCTATCGAATATCGTACGTTAGCCACCCACGTGATACTGTTGTTTTGATGGAGAAAATAAATACATTGTTCCCTTGCTAAACTTAAACTTAAAATTCTCGCAGTTTATGCCTTCATTTATATATATATTGGTTTCATAAATTAAATTCACCTATTGTCAGATTACCGACCAAAACCCGACGTCGAGACGACGTCAGAATGAAACGTCTATTAGACGTCGGGGATTCAACGTCGATTTGACGTTGTATGAAGGTCACCGACGTCGCGACCAAAATTCAACGTTGATCCAACGTTGGGTCAACGTCGGGTGTTTACTGGATTATTTTCGGTGGTTTTTTTGTTGTTTTTTTTTTTTTTTTTTTTTTTTCAATTTAAAAATTAAACTTAATGAAACAAAAAAAATGATTATTATCAAAATTTTGTAAACTATTTCAATTGATGTTATTTAACTGCAACCAAACGCTATTTTTTTCTCGACGTCTTGTGATGACAAAGTACGTACATTCTTTACTGTAGCCAACACGTCGATTAATCTCTAAAAAGTAAACATTCTTGACTAAAATCCTCGCTTAAAGTCATAATTAACATATGCACTTTCGCCTTCCATATATTTTTGAAAAGTGCCGTACGGCTAGCCAATACAGTGTGTCCTGGCTAGTCGTACGTGACTCACGTACGGCTAGAACTTTTGGCTAGCCGTATGGGCCCGTACGGCTAGCCACTTCCTACATTATTCAAATATGAGACCAATTCATGATTTATTGTGGCTTTCAAGTCGCTTTTAACGGTTCAAAAGTAAATTAATCTACTTACAAAATGTGTGTATACAAACGGTGTACATAAATAAAAGGGAAGTAACTTTGCAAACGGAGTTTAACTAATGACGTCATGTGTAAATGGTGTAATTACACGAAGGGTAATAACTGTGCATTTACTGTACAATCGCCGAAGCGAGGGAAAAGTTGAACACGTGTGTCAAATAAAAAACTCAATAAAATGGAAGACAAAGGAAATATTGGTTTGTATAAGCTTTATATAGTGTCTGACTTTATATTGAACTATATAATACTTTCTTCGCGTTTGACACTGTCGTTTGTTTGCAGCTTCTGGCTTTTCGGACAAATTATTTCGGATCAGCTGGTTTCACGAGTGGTATCACGAGTGACGAAATTATCAGGTCTTGGATTTTGAATTTTTAATAGACAGCCTACAAATTTATAGACCATCCATAAATTTTTTAGATTTTTATCTATAAATTTACAGAATTGAATAAAAGATAAATCATAAATCGACTGTATGTCTCTGCAGGAATCTACTGGAACAGACCCCTATGTATGTCACAGAAGTAAAGTCACCGTACCAGTGCTCAACCAGTTTTTCACAAAATCACATAAAAACTCTTTCAGAACAAAAAAAAATGCTGGGAAACTTATTTTTGTTACAAAGCAGGTCCTTATATATGACTTTTTATGTTCAGCATTTCTATTTCAAAAATATTTTGAAACATTATTGTTTTAGAGTCTATAGATGTAAATATGAGAGTAAATATGATATGAAGGAAATGCTATACATTGACAAATGAAGTGTTTATAAGAGTTTTTGAATTTACATATACTGGGGTGTTTGAGATTACTTATTTTCATATTTTGTTTAATAAAATCACTCTGCAAACATGTAGAGGTTACAGGTCAGGTACAAATAGCACACATAAACTCCCAGGGTTTTTCCACTTTAATGCATAAATCGTACACAAATTCAAGTATTGGTCGAGCACTGGGCTGGTCGAGCACAGGTACTGTGACTCTAAAACTTGTTATAATACTCTAAAGAGAAACAGAATAAATCTTATACTAGATCTACTCCAGGTTTAGACAGTCCATAGACCATACATTTCATAATTTCAGACTCTTTTCAGTTCATTTCCGGGACACTGCAGGCGTATTTTTTTTAATTTACATATTGGCATACAACCTATATTACCACTATTTACAACTTGCAAATTTAATGACACTATAAACAAGACAAAATGTCAATAGATTTAATTATTAATTGTTTCTTTTTATCTTTTTTTTAAGCATTCAGGCATCGTAAATTCAATCAGTCACAGAATAGAATAAAGCTATGTTAACCTTTTACCCCATGAGCATAATTGTGAAAAATGGCCGTTTTCATTGAAAAGCCTCCTGTTACAGGTTCCAACTGCTATAAAACTATGAAAAATGCTTCAATACTGATGAAACTTGGCACATATGTTGACTGAACCATAACCTCTGTAACAACATGCTCAATTTTAAATTTCCTGTTACCATGGCAACGGGGGAGACGTCTCAAAATTGTGAAAAATCACTATTTTGCATTGTTTTTTTTCCATCAAAACTGATTTCATTGTGCTGCAAATTCTAAATGCAATGAGATAGAGCAAATGGCTTTTCAGCGTTGGTTACACGTCAACTTAAGATTGACCTGAGGCCATTTTTAGCCAGTCACATGTCCAAAATTTTCTTGGCGATGAGGGGGACTACCGTCCGTCTTCACCCCCCTCCCCCCCCAAACAGAAGGGGGCACATCCCCCTTTTGGCAATCCCCTGATGTATCATTTTGATGGGGGGCCGCGCCAAAAATGTGGTCACTTTTTAACATCATTTCTCAAACGAAAAACAGTGTTTGGGGTCTAAATGGGGCATTTTTTCACTGTTTGAGGCCTCAGAAAGGGGGCGGGGGGGGGGGGGGCAAAAAGCCGTCTAAACATGCTTATATCAGGGGAAAGGTTAAGTAAGGACAATAGCCATGTCGTTTACCTGAAACATTCCCTGAATCCTGTAGATTTCATCACCTCATATTTAGCGGTAATTTTCACAGCGTTTGACCACTAATAACCGCCTGCTGTCAGATTAAATTTAAACTGACCAGTTGTTAATTACAGTGTATGACACCTTCGCTCAGGAAGCCACAGGGTAAACAATCAATATTTTTAATTGATCAAAATTATTGCCGATAATTGTTTGTTGGAAGGAGAACATAGATATACCAATCAAAGGATTAGAGTCACCATTCCAATGCCCTAAGGGGATAATCATGCGTTATTAGCATTCTAGAATAGTTTATAAAAACTTGACAATAAGATTAAATAAAAATGTAAAATTTCTTGCCAAAAAGTAGATTATTTGAGATTTTTTTTTACCGGGACATAAATCATCTCTGGGACACCTCCGGGACAGACACCTTATTTCCGGAACTTTCCCGGACATCCGGACGTTATGGCATGTATGCCGAAGACTATTCCAGGATATTCTTAAATAAAAACAGTCTCACAAAGTATATTTTTGAACTTTTAATTTAGGTGAACTTCAAAACTTATTAAAAATTTCTAAATTACCAAATCTGAAAAATCTATCGATTTTTTTGAACAAAGACATGTCTATCAAAACTGTGATACCAGCAAACAATACAATATAAATAAGGACGGATTGTAAAATTGAAAATCCAACAAAGCGTAACCCATGAATAAGGTGTGGCATTTGTTGTTTAAAAGAATAATTATGTTAATACACAAAATGCTTTTAAAAGCCAGCTATTTTCTCTTTATTGTATTTTTGTTTTTCAAAGATGTAAAAAAAATCAATGGTAAATTTATTAAGACTAAGGATGATAATGTACTAAGGGCAAGTAACAGTTTACGGGAACTTCAATGTCCTACAGGACTGGTAGAGTCTAGAATAAAATTAATCCCTGTCTAATCATCGTGGAAAAGTTCATCAGGTGCATGATATTTGGAAATTTCAAAATTTGAAATCTCATATTTTTTTCTCAGGAAATTAACATTTCCATTGTTCCCAAATAAACAATATGATGTTTAAATAAAATTATGTTTTCATTCAATGCTTTCATGTTTTGTTTTAAAACTTTTACAGAAAGGATACAGAAAGTAAAAAGCTTGTCTTTTATATGCAACTAATGTTAACTATGTAATTATTTATGTATCTATCTTTTCTAGCATTGCTGAGTGTGTCAGATAAATCAGGTTTGATAGAGTTTGCCAGTGAGTTATCTGCTCTTGGATTCAAACTTGTTGCCTCAGGTGGTACAGCCAAGGCAATCAGGGATGCAGGACTAGAAGTCAGGTAATATAACACATTTTCACAATTATTTTGAAAACTTTTTAACCCATGCATGATGTAAGGCTTGGCTTCTAGTTTACATGAAAGGTATGTAATTAATATTTATGAAATAGTCACTGGAAACCTGTAATATAAACTGTAGGCTTTTCAATCCTGTCCAGAAGTGTGTTTACTCTCTGAATTTCAAATGGTTAAGGCCCTACTGGCACAGAATTTGGACAATTCCACGGCTGGACTTTTCCCTCCCATTTATTTTTGAAAACCTACACAATTCCCCTCTCATTATTTTTTACGAGGCAGACAATGCCCATCCCTTTGTTTTTTTTTTCAGCTCAGACAATTCCCCTCCCATATATTTTTTCATTTCAAGTTCTTCACTTGATTTATGTAAAAAAAATCCAAATTTTATGCTTTAAGGCTTTTTAACTCCCTTTAAATACATATATTTTTCAGAAAGTTCTGTTTTTATTTACAGTGATGTTGCTGATATAACAGGAGCACCAGAAATGTTGGGAGGTCGGGTGAAGACACTACATCCTGCTGTACATGGAGGTATGCATATCTATATTGAAAATAGTATTTATTGTGACACATACAGAGCTTTCCAGAAATTTAAATGTCATTTCACCTTATAGGATGATCTTCAGACTGGTGACAATTTATTTTGACTTTACAAAATATTTAACAGACAAGCATACAAAATATTTAACAGACAAGCATACAAAATATTTAACAGACAAGCATTAACACTGCATACAGTGCTCTTGTTTATCAAATATGATATATATTTCCAGGAATTCTGGCAAGATCAACAGAGTCTGATAAGAAGGATTTGGCAGATCAAGGATTTCAAATGATAAGGTAATGCTTGGCACCTATAAGCAAGTATTAACACAGTATATTTTAATGGTTGAATTCTACATGGCCACCACCTGCACACCTAACTGTTCTGTATCATTAATGGGTTTATACAATCATGTAGCGGTTATTTTGTAAATTAATTGAGCTAACCAGTTCTTAATAGGTCATATAACTTAAGTTTTGAATTGCATTTAACCTTTACCATGATGACTGTCTAAATTGACTTGTCCATCTGTCAATCTGAACAAAACAAATCTTCATGTTTAAGGGAAATTTCAAAATAAGCACTAACTGAATAGTGAACAGTGCAGACTCTGATCCTGCATCCATATAAGATATTTTGTGTGGAAAACATAATGATAAGAAAATTGAAAACATAATGATAAGAAAATTGAAAACATAATGATAAGAAATTGGAAAACTGCAAGTATAAACTGCTATGAAAATTGATGATTGAGGTCTTATCTTAAAAATTGTTTGATGTATCTAATGTAATAATATTTTAAAACAATTTCAGGATAGTAGTGAACAATTTGTATCCGTTTGCCAAAACTATAGCCAAGCCAGATGTGTTTGTACCAGAAGCTGTAGAACAGATTGATATTGGTATGTTAATATTTTCATTCTTCTATTTCTGTCTTTATTTCACTGTAAACATGCCAAATATCTTTAAATGAACTTGTCCATCTCTCAACCATAATCATCAGTATTAGGGAAAAGTTAACATTTTCATTTTTTGTTTGTTCCTGTTTTAATATAACCATTGTCATTGATGATTGCTATTCGTGTAACTTTTACCACACTTAATATCTTAAATGGACTTGTCCATCCTCAATCTGGACATAACCATTCATGACTTTTAGGGAAAGTTTTAAAATATGTCCTGACTAGCAAATAGTGAACAGTACCATGATCAGACAGCTTGGACATGCTGGCTGGCTGATCATGGTCTGCTATAGACATATGGGTAAAACCTGATTCTGCCTGCAGACAGGTTAAAATCTAAAACTTTTATGTTAAAACTGAAATTTACAATACTGATCCAGATTGGCAACTGTAACATGCACGTGTTAAACTTTTTGTAGTAATATGCAAGATAACTAATTTATACATGCAAACTATCCCACTTTTAACGGGACGGGAGACTCCCACTTTTTGGAGCCATATTTTCAAAGATTTTTTTTTTTGAATAAGGGGTATTTTCACAAATTTAAGAAATCTCCCAATTTCTGATGCCAGAATAACAATTTCCTTCTTTGTTTATTGCAAATTCTTAAATCTCCCTCTTTTTGAAGAAAAATCTACCACTTGATCATCGAAAAAAGTTCACATGTATGCTAATTCAGTTTAAAACACTTACTACAATGAGATTGACAATTTAATGATTTGTTTTACTTTGTCTAACCAGTGTGCTATTCATCATTGTTATTACATGTTTGTTGGTCTATTTAATCTTAATAGTCTTTGTTTCATGAGATTATTTTATGTATTTTCAGGAGGTGTGACCCTTCTACGAGCTGCAGCAAAGAATCACGCAAGGGTCACAGTGGTCTGTGATCCTAAAGATTATAAAAGGTTTATTTTTCTATACTTTATTTGTGAGTCGAGATAATTTGCCAGATTGGTTATACCCCTTCAAGTGCTGATGGTGACAATTACAATCTATTGTCCCACATACTGAGAGTAGGCTATCATTTACATCTATGAAACCGGATAAGAAACTACTTCTGGCTGCTTAATATTAATATTTATACCCCCAAAAACGAAGTTTGGGGGGTATATAGGAGTCACCCGATGGTCGGTCGGTTGGTTGGGCGGTAGGGCGGTCGGTCCAGATGTCCGTTGCATTTTTCTTGTCCGGAGCATAACTTGAAGACTAATGGTTGGAATTCAATATAACTACATACAATGGTCAAGCACATTGAGAGGAAGTGCAGTGCACAAGAACCATAACTCTATCTTGACTAATTACAGAGTTATTGCCCTTTGTTACTTTTCCTTGTCCGGGGCATAACTTGAAAACTACTGGTTGGAATTCAAAACAACTTCATACAATTGTCAAACACAATAAGGGGAAGTGCAGTGCACAATAACCATAACTCTATCTAAAGTAATTACAGAGTTATTGCCCTTTGTTACTTTTCCATTGCCTTTTTTGTCCGGACCATAACTTGAAGACTAATGGTTGGAATTCAATATAACTTCATACAATGGTCAAGCACATTGAGAGAAAGTGCAGTGCACAAGAACCATAACTCCATCTTGACTAATTACAGAGTTATTGCCCTTTGTTACTTTTTCTTGTCCAGAGCATAACTTGAAAAATACTGTTTGGAATTCAATACAACTTCATACAGTTGTCAAGGACATTAAAAGGAAGTGCAGTGCACAAGAGCCATAAATCTATTTTGACAAAATACAGAGTTACTGCCCTTTGATACTTTTCCTTGTCAGGAGCATAACTTAAAACGTACTGGTTGGAATTCAATACAACTTCATACAATGGCCAAGCACAATAAGAGGAAGTGCAGTGCACAAGAACTATAACTCTATCTTCAGTATTTATAGAGTTATTGCCCTTTGTTCCTTTTCTTTGTCTTTCTGGACTTATTACAGAGTAATTCAATTAAACTTCATCAATGGCCAACCACATTGAAAGGAAATGCAACATATAAGAACCACAACTATCTTTAATTGCCCACAACCATAACTCTATATTTCAATTCTTTTACAAGGTATTCTGTTTCTAGTAACATCCTCATTTCCGAAGCAGTCTTGTGGGGGTATTAATCACATTTAGTGATAGTTCTAGTTTAAGAATGAAGTCCTTTAACATACAAGTGAACTGTTTTGTATTTAAGGTAGGTCAAGGTCATAACAGATTCAACAGGGGATAGGTGTTTAGGACTGAAATACTGTACTATTTGAATTTTCATATTTCATTGAATGCTCCATTAACCTTAACCCTCCAACTATGCTTTAAAAGAGTTCAGTAGAATTGATAAAGATTGTGACTTTAATCACTTGTGTCTATGATATATGTTTTTATCATGATTTGTAATGTTACACAGAGTGTTGGAAGAACTTCAGACGTCCGATGATAAGGACACAAAACTTGAAACCAGGCAGAAACTTGCTGTAAAGGTAATGACTAAATTTTAATCTCTATTTATTAACTATGCATTACTGCAATTATATTACTAGAATGTAAAACTCAAGTCTAAACTATTAAAATGTGTTGCAGCCTGAGCAAGTATTCTTTGCATATGTTGCAAAACAAATGCCTTTGCTGCTTAACCCATAACCTGCTGGTGACAACTGAATCTACCAATGAAAACAGTGCAGACCAAGATTAGCTGGTACATATGTGCTGTCTGATCATAGTCTACACTGTTTGCTATTCAACCAGTACATTTTGTTTTTCTTGAAAAAGATGAATAGTTTTGTCGTGATTGAAAGATGGACAAGTCTATTTAAAATACTTAGTGTGGTAAGGGTAAAACTTCCATAACCTCACAATCAGCTGATATTGCCAGTCTTCAGTGGTTAATGTGGCACATTTTACCATACACTGGCATAATAGTAAAAAAAATTAAACAGTAAAAAGTTTGATGCATAAAACTTCTGCATGATTAGTTTTGAAACATTTGTGTTTAAGTTTGTTTACATTTCTGGTTTGTTAACATTTCTGGTAAATTGATAAAGTGTAAGTCATGAAACATGCTGTCTATTTTGTCTAGTTCAATATATCAATATTTGTTTTAAATCAGGCTTTCAACCACACTGCGGAGTATGACGGAATGATCTCGGACTATTTCCGTCGCCAGTTCAGTGAAGGAGTCTCTCAGTTGCCGTTGCGGTATGGCATGAACCCTCACCAGAAACCAGCACAGATTTCTACCCTACTAGCCGAACTACCATTGAAAGGTAACAAAACTTGCTGCTTTTAGTTCAGCCAAAGTCTATAACTCAAAGAAATTTGGGAAATTTTGTGGTTTCAGATTATGTGGGGAAAAATGTTAACATAAGAAAGAACTTTTTATGCTCCGGAAGGACGGCATATTAAAATCTCACTGTCTTTGCGTTCTCACACAACATTTGTGTCCAGACTGTAACTTTGTCATGTTTATATGTTCTATACATATTTGTTGTGAATCATTAAAACTTTGGAAATGATTGACAATACTCATGATGACTAATAATTCCTTTGTATTTTTCAGTTGTAAATGGTTCTCCTGGATTTATCAATCTGTTAGATGCATTAAATGGCTGGCAGCTGGTGAAGGAACTGAAGTCAGCTTGTGGTACTGCTGCGGCAACCTCCTTTAAACATGTCAGTCCAGCTGGTTAGTGAATGCTGCTTTCTTTTACCTATTACAACCTAGGTTTGAGCCTCTAATATTGACAGAAAATGTGAGAATGACTGAATAAAGTGTAAAAATGTAAAATTATATTACAATGGCTGTTATAATATATCAGACATTTGTTTGGTATTCAATAATTCTAGTTATCATGTTTTCCATTTTAATATGCATTTCTTTCTTTAAATTTCAAATGAAACAAAAACCTGTTAAGAATCTCTCGAGTTCATGTAGCACGCAGTATTATGCCAGGGTCATATCTATAAGAAATAGTCTCAAATGTTTTAAAGTCAAATGTAAGAGAGACTTTAATATTCTAAAAAATCTATTTGATTCAAAGTTTTATCATTTTAATATTTTCAAACTAGTAAGAGGTAAAATATTCCATTCTTTTTATTTTATTTCAATTTTTTTTTAGGTGTCTGATAAAGTTGAGGGAGACTGATAAAACTAAATTTATCAGGCATGCATTTTATCAACAGAAATCAATGTAATGATATGATAAAAGTTATTATAAAGCATCAGACATGACTTGTGATTTAAACATACTACAGGAGCAGCTATTGGTGGACATGGGATGTCCGAGGAAGATAGTAAAGTATGTATGGTAGATGATATGGAGAATTTATCTCCCTTAGCTGAAGCCTACGCTAGGGCGAGAGGTAAGATTTGTCATTTATTTAACCGTACAAAAGTATATTAGATAATGGAAACAAGTAAGATTGTTGAACAAAATTCTGATTTAGAGCAGGTATGCTGAATTTAACAGTAAAAAGAATGTGAATATCTGTCTGTAATTTTTCACTCTTTCAAACAAGTCTGGTTTCACCCCATTAGAAAATACTTAAAAGTCATGAAACTGACTAAATATGGGACAAGGCAGAATATAGTTGAATTGTGACTCCATATATATTTTTATAGCAAACTTTTTGAACTTAAATTTAGTATTTTGTGAATGAAATCTATTAAAATTTGAATGAACGGTTTTTAATTCAAAGCAGAGCATATCCGTTACCTAAAATCTGCAGATTAGACTTAAAAAGTATATAAAAAAAATGAAAATATCAACGTAGATGTATTAATTTTACAGGTGCAGACAGGATGTCATCATTTGGAGATTTTATCTCACTATCTGATGAATGTGATGTTCCTACTGCAAAGATAATCTCTAGAGAGGTTAGTCAAAACTTGTGAACTATTTTCTTTTATTTTCAATCCTCCTGTTTATGACAATGGGGAGAATTTTACTGTATGTCGGCATATTTTATAACTTGTTCTATATTTCATAACAGTGATTGTTTTCATATTCATAACATTTTTATTTTCACAAAACACATCTTCGTGAAATATTAAAACTTGTCCCACGCTAGCTTTATAACTCCCTGGACCTATTTAATATGATAGTTTATATAAATTTAAAATGACAATTTGTCAAATGACAATAATTTGATTTCTAACAATTTGTCGAAATCTAAACATCATCTGTACTCTACTGCTAATTTTGGTGATCTTTGTGTGGAATTGAATGTTATGGGAGAAGAAGAAAAAAAGGTGAAAGTAAGGTCTGCAGTGAGCAGGTTGTTGACAGAAAAGCTGACCAAAAAAAACTGTTGTATCTGAATCTTGGATATTTTGCAAACTTGCAAATTAACTAGCTACAACAAAAATGTGCAACTTTTGTGTAAAAGGGTCTGATGAAAGGGAAATACAGGGATGCCAATTTTCCGCGGAAATCCGCAGATTTCGAGGTCCTCGAACACTTTTGAGAACGATGTAAATCTGAGGAGAAAATTTTTTCGAGGTGGGGGTCTCTTTCGCCGCGTTTGCTACCGTCTATTGTCCGCCGATTGTAAATGTTTAGACCGTACCGTAAATATTTAGACCGTACCGCTTTTTGGGTATGTTCAGTCATTGTCGCTATTATATTAAGCCAATGAACGATAGCGTTAAATATACCGATCAATCGTAGCGTCTTTCTGTAGTTGAAGAAAGCAAAACAAAATGTCGGCCCATAAGCAAGAAAGATATGTTTACATGAATAATGGCAGCAATTAACTCCAACAACACTTCGAAGATCAAAGACTGTGACAAAAATGTTAAAAATAAGTTTAATTTGAAATGGTTAGAGAACACAGTAAATGTGAATATCAGATCAACCGAGACAAACGTCTGCATTGGTGACGATTTTGTCAATATAAATATCAGTAAATATCAATATCAGTTAATGAAAATATTTGATAAAGCACTAAAAGAAATGCATTTTAGACCATCTGAAAAGGATGAAAACCCAGGAGCTTCCGGGGGCTTCGCCCCCTGGTCTCCCATCAGGGCTCTGCCCTGGACCTGCATGGGGGGCCTACGCAGCCCCCATGACCCCTCGCATTTAATTTTCCTTTTTTTTCCAACTTGTCTGTTGGCATCCCTGGAAATAACATATATAGAATAAAACTAATTATAGGTCTCAGATGGAGTTATTGCCCCTGGATATGCACCAGAAGCTATAGAAATTCTGAAGAAGAAAAAGAATGGAAACTATTGTGTCCTGGAGGTAAGTTATATAGTCATATAAAAACTGCTGTAAACTATGTGCCTGGTAACAATATTGGATATAAAAGTATCTCAGTTGATCATTTTCCAGTTATTTTCTTAATATATTTACAGATTTGGGATATTTTTGTTGTACATCACCTTTTTGTTAGTTTGCCTTTGCAGTAAGAAGAAATAAGTGGCTGAGTTGTTAATGCATTAGACTAGTAAACTAAGAATTGCTTGTTTCGAAGATTCAAACCCAGTCAGGGGCGAGCTGTTGTTTCTGTGTGCAAGAAACTTAACGTTCATTGCTTTCCAGGAACGGATAAGAGAGTGTTTCATCAAGCTTATAGCTTCCAGCTTAATCAAACTAAAAAATTTTATATAAACTAAAAAAGAGTTTCACCAATTTCTTTTTCTCTGTAGATTGATCCAGAATATGAGCCCCCAGAGATGGAGACAAGAACATTGTTTGGTCTACAGATGACACAGAAAAGAAATGATGCCAACATCAATAAACTTGTCTTCAAAAATGTTGTCACTTCAAAATCAGAGGTACCGTAAAAATACTCTATTATAATCTAGACAGATATAGTCATTGTTGTACCTCTTCTATTTAAGTTTTTGTTTAACCTTAAATATATCAAATGAACTTGTCCATCCTTCAGTCTGGACAGCACACAATTTATCTTTTTTAAGGAAATATCTAAAGTACTGATTGAGGAACAGTGCAGACCAAGAATTGAAGAAGGTCTAGACATTGAGTTTGAAATTTCAGATCATTAGCTCACTCCGTCTTTTCCAGAATAATTATTTTAATTGTAAAATGACCAAAAATAGAAAAGCGTTGCAAGGGCTAAGATTATCACAAAAATACGATTTTCAATTTACTTCTGCGTATATTTCTTAATTATCTTTTGCATATCTTTCTGTTTTAAGTGCCCTAGCTGATCTATGTAAAAAAATCATATTTTATATTTTTTAGGCTTTTAAACCTCTGTGGAGTTACTTTAATAAATGATTGAACAAATTGATGTGTATTATTTCAGGTGTCAGAGAAGAATGTTAGAGATCTGATTGTTGCCAGTATAACATTAAAGTATACACAATCCAACTCTGTTTGTTATGCTAAAAATGGTCAGGTAGGTTATCTAAATCCAGTGTGGAAAATAACAGTTAAACTTCAAATTAGTGTAGATATGTATGAAAGACCAGAATTTTGCTCAATGTGTAAAGTTTGATTATGTAGAGTTGTAGTGTGTTAATGATGAACATAATGAAGCCCCTATAAATGTACATTTTTAATGAACATCTCTCCTACCAAACTTATAGATATATAATGATACTGATAATTGCTATACAATATTTTTAAATGTCAAATAAACATCTTTTAATCACACACAGAAAAGATAAGCTACACACACTATTTGAATTTGATATTGCTGTATTTCAAAAAGGGTAAATTTAAGTGTCAGTTTGCTGGTACATTTATAAACTTGATAATATTTCAGGTTATTGGGATTGGAGCCGGGCAACAGTCAAGAATTCATTGTACTAGACTTGCTGGGGACAAGGCTAATAACTGGTATGTTATTGAAAGTAGAATATCATTTATCAAATTTCTGATAATTATGTATTTAAAAAAGTGTTATCTGTAGTGAAAACTAAATTAAAACTTATCCTGGTGAATTAAAACTTATCCTGGTGAATTTGTTATTAAGATCCGAATGGTGTTGTCTGTATATGGAACATTCAGAATAAAACCCAGCTGGAACTGTGAAGTTATGCTCAACATTGAGCGTTAGACCTACATGTATTTATATATATGTTTAAGCTACATACATTTTTGTTTTGATTGTGAAGGAGAAAAAACACTTATTGTGTTATAAGTTAATATAGTTTGATTCTTCAAATGTAATGATGATATAATTTATTTCTAAAGCATAAAGTTTGTTCCTAACCTTTAACCTGCTGGAACAAAAAGTGATTAGTCTTTGCCACCAGTATAGAGCCAGGTCATTGGTTTAAACATATTTATTTAAGCTTGATTGCAAAACAAGTTCTTGCAACTTATATTAATCGAGTCCGCCTCCTGGAACCAACCAGTACTGATGTCATATGAAGAAACATGGTGGTGACTTGAGTAGGGCTCAAACCCATGATCCAGGGGTTGAGAGGCCGACAACTTAACCACTAGGCCACTGCTCTCCTTGCCCCAGGCCATTGAGTCTGTGCATTTGGGCAGGCTGACCAGGGTCTATACTGTTGATAGTGCAATTTTTGAATTTTGATATTGAAATGCCTTGATTTTCAAATAGACTAGAAAAAGAAATTCAAAGTGGTGCAAATCAATACACAACTTCAGCAGGTAAAGGGTAAAAGATCTTTATAAAAATGAATCATCATAATGCTTCAAAAAAGCCTTTAATATTGTGATCACTGTTACATTGTGTTATAGGTGGTTAAGACAGCATCCCAAAGTGATGAACATGAAGTTTAAGAAGGGAACAAAGAGAGCAGAGATGGCTAATGCCATAGATCAGTTTGTACTGGGAACTGTTGGTGTGGTAAGTTTTAACATCATTTAGTTGTTCCATTGTGTCTAAATGTTTCAACATTTAGGGAACACTGCTCTATAAAGTTTATTGTCACATAAACCGCGGCACAGGAGTGTAATAAAGCCATTTAATAAAAACGATATTACACTAGACAATATTACACTAGTACAATAACACTTTGACGTCACGTCATTTGCGCTATAAATATAGTGTTAAAGCGCGCTAATGTAAGTGTTACACTATATAGGCGCGTCAAAGAAAAATGACTATTTAACAAGTTACTGTTCTTATTTTATATATGTGATAAATAGAATATTATATTCATGTAGATTCAATACTAAATTTATTGAACTCGTTGAATAAAACAATATTATGCTCGCCAGAGGCTCGCATAATATGATTTTATTCAACTTGTTCAATAAATTTAGTATTAAACCTACACTCATTCAATATCCTCTATTTATTGATGCTACAAGAAATCTTTGTGGGTTATATACCTGAAAGGTTACTGAGAGAGATGATGAATTGTACACAAATAAAAAGTTAAAATATTATTTATGCCAGTCAAGATTTTGGGTTCAATACCTGTATAATAAGATTCAGGCGGGGTTGTGCCACCTGTTTCTGAAGATACCTAGCGACCAGTGCAGACCCTCATCACAAGGCAGATGATGACAGTGGTCTGCACTGGTAACAATTCAGGCAATAATTATTTTGAAATGATCACTAAGAATAATGAAAGGTTAAAGAAAATGTTCTGATATAAAGATGGACAAGTCCACTCAAGAAATTTAGCTTGGTAAGTGTTAATGTATTTGTTGAATGTTAAGTTTAATGTGATGCCTGAAGAGATATTTAAATAATTTTTTTTAATTAACATGAAAAAAATGCAGAAAAAGAAGAGATTTCTGATGATCAGTCACATAATGAAGTCTTGCTATCTTAGTTTTATATTGGTGTGAATTAGTTATGCAATATATATGTCCCCTAGCACTGCTGTTATGAGCTTTTAAATTTTTTTAGAATGAAAATTGATGGAATCTGTGTTGTTGTATAATTTCAGGATTCAGACAGAGCAAGTTGGGAGAGTGTGTATGATGAAGTACCAGAAATGCTTACAGAGGTTTGTATTTCTGTGATGTTTAACTTATACAGCCCTTGATGATATCTCTGGCTCTGTGGTTATTATATCTTACATTTAACCACTTCGTGACTTGCCTATCATCAATGTGGATTCAGATCCGGCCATGTGCATTTGATTTTATCATTTGATGAAGCTATTAAAAATAAAAAAGAAGAGTCTTAATGGTCTGTCATTTTTCTCTTACCTTTGATTCAGAAATGATGCAAGATTTTTAGATGGTCACTTATGGAAAAATTGGTAATTACTGGTCAGTTATTCAAAAAAGTTGGTTAGGTGGATTGATTTCCTAGATTTAACAAAAACATGCGTTAAATCAGCATAAAATCAGATAAATAAGTTGGATAGGTTGTCTTAAGTTACTTTTTTACATTTTAAATTTCAATAAACAGTTTCTACTAACTTAGTCACTTAATTTGTTGTCATAATAAAGTTGTGTTAAAATGAAATGATTTTCACGATACTTCTGCTCTCTGATTCTCTGTATTCCTTCTGTATTATAATTTGAGCTTGCAAAAATAAATATGAAAGTCATTATAAAGGGGGGATCATTCTTGATAACTTATTATAAAATTTACCAAAATTACCTCCCTTTCTGGTTACAGGCAGAAAGGAAGGAATGGATCTCCCAGTTGAAAGGTGTGGCACTTAGTTCTGATGCTTTCTTTCCATTCAGAGACAACATTGACAGAGCGGTACAGGTGAGTGTTTATCTGTTACTCTGTGTAGACATAGAAACTGTTAATCAAATTTAATATTATTCTTAAAAATAGTTGTAACCTAATTAAATATTTGTACTGTATGAATTAATAAGTATAAATTTAAATTGGCTATGAAATGTATTGCAGAATTTACACAAGTTTGGAGATCATTTTTTGCTAATGAGCCACAAATACTTAACTGGGTACTGTACTGGAGACATGGCATCAGTATAGACATAACAGCCAACACTGCCACATTCATGGAAAGTGTTTTGTGCAGAGTTTTAAAATCATTTATGAATTTTCTATCATTGTTTTACTACTGAAAGGACAAAAGTAAAAAATACTTGAATTACAAACTCATGTTGACTTCCTTTTCCAGGGGGCCAAGTTTTTATTTTAATGAATCTTTCACTGCAGTGTAGAGAAGGTATTTAGGGTATGGACACCTTCTGTCTGCCAGTATCTATAGTGATAGAAATTGGTCACATGTCTGTAATAGTGATGGTTTAATCTTCGTAAATTTTGACTTATTCCAATCAAACATTGTGGTGCTTTTTGTAAGGTACCCTCCATATTTTTGCAATAAGCCACTTTGAATTCACCAGAGCACAATTCAGCCACATCATCAAACATGTAAATTTATTTGTATATTTTACAGAGCGGAGTTGAGTTTATAGCTGCACCAGGGGGCTCCACTAATGATGAGGGTGTGATCAAAGCATGTGATGACCACGGCATAGCTATGATTCATACCAATCTTAGACTCTTCCATCACTGAACGCATAAGATATGTCTAAAAAAAGAGAAAAGATCAATTATTGGACAATTTGATGAATTTATTTCTGAATTTTGAAAAGAAACATTATTTGGTAGTAATTTCAGGTGTAGATTATAATTATAAATGATCATACTTGTTTGCATAAATACAATCAGAATTCCTGCCTAGCTGAACAATCCGTGCTTTTTTACCATGTGATTATTTTAGACTGGTTGGGGACCACCAAAACCAGACAGCCACCAAACCCGGACGGCCCAGAAAATGCTTAATTTAGTATTTTCTTTGTTCAGTGGTTGTCAGTCACTTTTTTATCAACAGTAAATGCATGTTTCTTCTATAATTTAGTAAACAAATTTATTTCAACCTCTGTAAATGGTAATACTTTAATGTCTATTTTAATAATGTTGACGTTGAAATTTGGGCGTCAAGAAAGCAATGCCTGATCTCCTATACCAGCTATAATCATTTGCAAAATAACAATAGAATTTCCAAAACTTCAGCATTTGTTGCTGAAATATTGTATATCATGTTAAAAATTAATACACCCAAGCTTTTATATGAATTAAATCACTCCATGTAAATATCTGTCCTGACCGTAAACAATTTTGGTAAGTTTGATACCCTCCTTGAAGAGCCTCTGACATAAGTGTCAATACAATCAGAAATAAACAAACTAGTTTGTTAGTTAGGAGAAGAACCTAGCTGTACTGTCTCAAATTTTTAGGTCTCTGAGTTGGAAATTATGAAATCTTTATGGGAAAATGTTCAAAAAGTGTCCGGTTGATGGTCCCCGACCAGTACATATCTAAGTTACATATTTTTTTATTAATAAAATATTTCAGAGATTTTTTTTTTCTTAAAATTTACACAATTTGTATTTCTATGCAAATTTCACTTGTTTTTGTTTGTTTTTCAAATTTACAGGAAATCCAGTATGTTATAAAGTCTTTCAAATATATTTGAACAAAAACATTGTTTCCATGTGCCATAGTTAATTATTATTGTTGTTCAAGACAAAATGTATTTTCAAATAACATTTTTTTAGTGTTTAATTAATGACTTCAAGTTTAAATATTTTTTTGTAACCAGTAAAAAATTATATTTAATGATAATACTCAGTAGTTAATTGTTTGTAAATTGTTGATTTGTTATGTTATGAATGTTCCAGATATAAGATGGGATTATTGCATTCCATGTTCCAATTAATTGAAAATTAGTTATGTTCTATCATAAAGATTAAAAGAAAGTGCTCATTTTAAAAGTTTATAGCCTTCTTCATGGTCTCCAGTGGTATGCATATAGTAAACAGTTTGTCTGAGATCATTCTTAACATTTTTACCAATTTCTCTGCAATGTCCTCTACATGGAATTCATCCAATTGTCTAAAAAATGATTCAGTGTTAATAAGGGCTGGATATAAAAAAAAAATTTCCTCCATTTTAAACCATTTTGATATTCTTAAAGCAAATTTCCCCATGTGCCTTTTTGTTTTGATAGTGAACCCTTAGATTCTTCTTGTGTGAGTATTTATTGATTCAAACAGTGGTCAAGGTTTGAAAAGAAATAGGTTGTAAAATTAACATTGAAATGTAGCAGAGTCTTGAAGTATATTAAGGTTAGTTAATGAATTATGTGACAAATAATGATGAGTTTTGTTGGTGGGATATGCATAGCCAATAGTTTAGGTTGATGACTTCAAACAACTTGCCTCAAGCCTTGCAAGCATCTTCCAATTTTTTGATGTGGGTAAGCTATCCAGCTAGCTTACAGAACACCAATGGTTCTACTCACGTGTCTGAAATAACACATAGAGGGGTACCTTAGGTCTTCCTCCAACAGTAAAGCTAGAAAGTCACCATATGACCTATACTGTTTTGGTGCGACATAAAACCCAATCCCAAAAAAAAAAAAGAATGAGTTTTGTTTAATTTTTTTTTTGTTATATAAAGTTAATCATATTGTGTTCTGTTAAATTTTCTCTATAAACTGAATCTTTTTATAATATTTAATTTTAATATTTTGATTTTAGTGTATAGTTATGATAAAAATTGTGACAGTCGTATTATGATACATATAGTTATATTTTGGTGGGTTGGGCCCGATTAATTTTATATTGTTGTTTTTCACAGTAGTTTGTATGTAGTTCATTAGCTATTCACAGTTTTTAATGATTAAAAAGCTAGTTCACTCTGTAGATTTATTGCTAAAGTAGTATGTAGTAGTTCTTAATATTTTCCATTTTGCTTAGTTCATTAGATATTCAATACTTTGTTTAGTTACAAACTTTTTTTGTTCTTTCAACAGGATTTATTTTTGTTGATATTAGTTAAAAATACAAATTTGGAAAAAATTTTATTTTTTGTAGTTAAAAACTTGAAATTAATTTTTGTTAAGATTTCAAATATGTTGGTGATTATTTTTTTTTCATACAATTTTTCTATTGTTCCCCTTTTTTCCAAATTTCCAAGCTTAGCAAAATGACATTTGTCTCAGAATTAGTACCCAGGGGTTAATAACAAAATGCCATATTTTCTGCTAGTTTTTAAAGGAAAAATAAAGTTGTTTTTCTTTCAATAAAAATTAAATTTCCCACTGATTGAAAATTAATGAATTATTGAATATTTGTAAAGTGATCTACATTTGTTTGTGGTTAAGACATTTTGAAACATTTTATAGCTTTTAAAGGTGTAAATTTTCTGAAGTTATGTATGTGATATTTAAAAGTGCTGTTTTTTAGCTCACCTGTCACAAAGTGACAGGGTGAGCTTTTGTGATCGCTTTTTCGTCCGGCGTCTGTAAACTTTTACTTTAAATGACATCTCCTCATAAACCACGAAGCCAATTTCATCCAAACTTCACAGGAATGTTCCTTTGGTGGTCACCTTTGAAAATTGTTCAAAGAATTTAATTCCATGCAGAACTCTGGTTGCCATGGCAACCAAAAGAAAAAACTTAAAATATCTTCTTCTAAAAAACCCAAAGAGCTAGAGCTTAGATTTTTGGCATGAAACATCTTCTGGTGAGTGTCTACCAAGTTTGTTCAAATAAAAGCCCTAGGGTCAAAATTGGCCCCGCCCCAGGGGGTCATTGATTTTCCCTATATGCATATAGTAAAACCTTAAAAAATCTTCTTTTAAAGAACCAAAAGAGCTAGAGCTAAGATATTTAGCATGAAACATCTTCTAATGAGTGTCTACCAAGTTTGTTCAAATAAAAGCCCTGGGGTCAAAGTTGGCCCCGCCCCAGGGGGTCATTGATTTTCCCTATATACATATAGTAAAAACTTGAAAACATCTTCTATTAAAGAACCAAAAGAGCTAGAGCTAAGATATTTAGCATGAAACATCTTCTAATGGATGTCTACCAAGTTTGTTCAAATAAAAGCCCTGGGGTCAAAGTTGGCCCCACCCCAGGGGGTCATTGATTTTCCATATATACATATAGTAAAAACTTCAAAAAATCTTCTTTTAAAGAACCCAAAGAGCTAGAGCTAAGATATTTAGCATGAAACATCTTCTAATGAGTGTCTACCAAGTTTGTTCAAATAAAAGCTCTTGGGTCAAAATTTGCCCGGCCCTGGGGGTCATTGATTTTCCAAATTTCCTTGTATGTGTATAGGAAAAACTTAAAAAATCTTCTTTGGAAAAAACCAAATAGCTAGAGTTTAGATATATAGCATGAAACATCTTCTAGTCATTGTCTACAAAGTTTGTTCAAATAAAAGCCCTGGGGTCAAAATTGTCCCACCCCGGAGGTCATTCATTTTCCCTATATGTGTAAAACTAAAGCAAAAATTGAAAAATCTTCTTTGAAAAAACTCAAATAGCTAGAGTTTAGATATTAAGCACGAAGCATCTTCTAGTGAGTGTCTTCAAAGTTTGTTCAAATAAAAGCCCTGGAGTCAAAATTGGCCCCGCCCCGGGGGACATTGATTTTCCTTATCGAGTAAAGCAAAAACTTACAAATCTTCTTTGAAAAAACCCGAATAGCTAGAGTTTAGATATTAAGCTTGAAACATTTTCTAGTAAGTGTCTACAAAGATTGTTCAAATCAAAGCCCTGGGGTCAAAACTGGCCCTGCCCCAGGTGTGTCATTGTTTTTAACTATATGTGTAAAGAAAAAACTTAAAAAAATCTTCTTTTAAAAATCCCAAGGAGCTAGACCTTAGATGTTTAGCATGAAACATCTTCTAATGGTTGTCTACAAAGTTTGTTCAAATAAAAGCCCCGGGCTTTAAACTGGTCCCGCTCCGGGGGCCTATGTACAGGTGAGCGACTTCAGGGCCATCATGGCCCTCTTGTTGTTGTTTTTTTTGCTTTGGAAACCATGGAAAAGATGATTTTATGATTGTACACTTTCTTGTTATTTTCCAATATTTTATGGAAATGATTTTAGAAAAAGGTGCTTTAATGATTTATTTGAAGGATTAAGAAAATGCTTTGTAGTTGCTTTTTTACTGTTGTTTGTATGTAAAATATAATGGTGTTTTTGTTTAAACATGTAGCAATAAAGAGCAACGGTAAACACCAAACATTCTAGAGTAAGAAGGTACATTTTTAAACTCTCTTGACATGCCATTTTAGCCGCATCACAACAAAACCAACATAATGCGTTTGCGACCAGCATGGATCCAGACCAGACTGCGCATCCGCGCAGTCTGATTAGGATCCATGCTGTTCGCTATTTGTAATAGGGTTGGTAAGAGAACAGCATGGATCCTGATCAGACTGCGCAGATGCGCAGGCTGATCTGGATCCATACTGGTCGCAAACGCACAATGTTGGTTTTGTCGTGACGCGGCTCATTTGGTCTTGTGAGCTGTTTGACAGACAATAAAGTAAACATAGAGATACATAGATAGTCAGTAAACAAGTCTCTTGTTGCCTGAAGGAGTTGCAATACAAAAATAGAATTTACTAAATGTACCTCTGTACTTAAACTTCGTACGAACTTGTCACAGATTTGAGACAGTTTCTTTATATACCAATATTTTTTGATGATGTGGAAATGTTCAATATGTTACAGTCAAACCTGTACTGAAGAAGCATCTGCAAAATTTATAAAACTTACATAGAAAACTCGATCAATGAAAGGCCAGCTTGTTTTTGTTATTTTAGATCATTTTGATTAGTTAATATCAATATTATTATGATAATTATTTCATAGTAATTAATACTACAGTACAAACCTCTATTTAGAGGACACATGTACCCTATACTTGTTTAATATGTTTATTATGAAGACCAGTTTCTAGGCCATATATAAAATATTGTTTGTCACCTCTGATCAACCAATATAATATTGCTTATCTTGAAATATGGTAAATTTTTGTTAAAGTATCTGACAGAAAAATGAATTCATGCACCATGTGGGAAGTGGCAAACTTATATTTTTTATGTGTAGCCTTTTTGAGTTGACTGTTTTCTTCATTATAAGACAAAATTATTAGAAGGAAAAAGTTGTTTACTCCTGAACATTACACACAAAAAATGATGTTGCTGTGTCGGCAATATTTGTACTATTTACAAACGGTTAACTAGTTTTTGTATTAAGATCTGTTTTCTAATGGATACAGAGAAAAATAAGACATTTGTAGTAAAGTTCAAGGGGAAATATGATGTGTGTATTTGTGAAACCTTGTAAAAACTATATGAGTTGTTTAACCTTGTATTGGATATGTCAGCAACCTTGGTGTTGTCTCAGTTATAAAAATGGTGTCAAGGAAATCACCTTGTTGTGATACAACTATCAATGACTCAGTTAAAAATACAGTTGGACCTTTTTGTAATGTCCAGTATAGAGACGTGATGAAAATTGGGGAGTTGTTTTACTGGAGAGAAATAATATTATGTAGAAGGATGGAGTCACTCCAGTGCTCCTCGTTTCTGGTTTTACCCCATTTATTTATTTTTCTGGGTAAAGCCTTTTTAGTTAGGATATTTCCTCCACCCCCCCCCCCCTTTTTAAAAAAGATCTTGGCACTCCAAAGTTCATCATTAAAAAACGTATACCTTAGCTCTCTCATTGTTGAAATGGGAAATTGATAAAATACTGGCCTTTATAGGCAGGTTCATCAGATATGGTCTTTGTTCACAGGTATTCTACAATGTACAGATTTGATTGTATTGTATAGTTAAAAAAAAGGTTTTCAAGTTAACTTGTATTAAAGTTAGAATTTGTGTTCAAGTTACAGTGTTCATGAAACAGTCTCGTCAAAGATCTCATGTTAATTGGTAGGTTATGTTTCCATATAACTTTTTCCAAGTTGTACAAATTCAGAACAAAGTTATTTTCATAAAAAGCCATTTGTTTTTGTTTTCATTGTCCATTGATGTTTGAGTTGTTACATCACTTTCTATGCAAGTTCTTCACGGATTAAATATGTAAAGTGTACATACAGCATTATTATGCCCCCCCCCCCCCCCCCCTTCTTATGCCCCCCTTTGCTGTCAGTTGGTCCATACACCAAAACTTTCCAATCAATAACTTAATAACACCTGAGCTTAAGAACTTTAATCTTGTTATGAACACTGGTCATGTCCAGAGATGATCCTTAAAGTTTTTTGGATCACTAGGTCAAAGGTTAAGTTCACATTGACCTTAAATATCAAAATTGTTTCCAACTAATAACTACAACTCATAGCCCCTTGCTCTGCACTGGTCTTGGCAATTGGATGACCTCTAACGTTTTTTTTTGGTCAAAGGTCAAGGTCACATTGACCTTGATACCAATTCAGTTTCATACCAATAAGTCGACAATCAATGGGCCCGTTGCCCTTAAAGGGCATTGATTTTGGGGTCAAAGATCAAATTCACATTGACCTTTTTTATGAAAATGATTCACATTAACCGACCTTTTTATGAAAATACTTTCTGAAAAATAACTATAATCCAACGGCCCTTTTGCCCTCAAACTTTACAGGTGCATTGCTTGCTCTTGGCCAGTAGATGTCCCCTATAGATTTTAGGGTCAAGGTGTCACATTCACCAAGTATGTCGAAATGGTTTCCGATCAATAACTGCACAATACGTGGGCTCGAAGACCCCACCTAAGATTTTAGGGTCAAAGTCACAATTGACTTCTGACAAATAATTTGGGCCCTTGGTCCACAAACTTCTCGGGTGGATTGGTCTTGACAAGTAAATGACACCTATCGATTTTGAAGTCGCAGTGTCAAAGGTCAAGGTCACATTGACCCTTTATATCAAAATAATTTCTAATAAACAACTTTGCAACCAATGGGACCTTGGCCCGCAAATGTCATACAAACATTTGGTACTTAATGACCCCTTTCGGTTTTTGCGTCAAGTAGGACATTGACCTTGTGTTACTCAACAGTTTTCAACCGGTAACTTAACACCAGGCTGCTGTGGGGGGGGGGCATACATCGTTTTGCAATATCTTGTTTAGACTCATGCTCTGTTCATAAATAATGTTCTGTAAATAACCCCTTTCAAATTAGAGATAAGAGTACAAATCAAAATAAACCGTTCCATTTCGCATTAATTATTTTACCTATTTGAAATCATTGATATTTTGTTAAATGGCACTAACAGTGTTCCGTAACACATATTGTTGTTTTATGTAACTTAAATCAAAGTAAAACGGGTTTTAAATTTTCTTTCTCACCGAAAGTGGCCATGAACCACGATGACAAAGGAAATAACAAAATCAGCTGTGCGACCAAAATTTAGGACACACGTTCTTTTAACCGAAATATAAGTTATTTTACTAGACAGCGATCAGCTGATTCACAGCTGACGAGGGGTTTTAAATTTCTTTTGGTTATTATAGACACACCGCGACATATTCTTTAACATTAATACTGTGTTGTATGAATACTATTGTATAGCAATGTTGTACAGTGTTAGTATTTTACATCAAAACTTTAAGCTATGAGAACCGACTTACCCTTTTTCTTGATTTATGAATCGTTCTAAACGCCTAAGATAAAAATTTAATAATTAGAAAAAAAGTCGGTGCGAGGCTTTAATTTATTGGTAATATTTTTTGCAACTTTTTTGAGCAAATAGTGAACGAAAACACAAAAAAAATGATAACCCAAGCCTGAAATCAGATTCCCCAAAGGGAAATGCAATATTTCTTTAAATCCAAGAACTTTTCTTTTTAAGTTCTAAATTTCCCCTTTGATTTAAAAAAATTTTTTGATGAAGAAAAAAAACACAGAAAATCGAAAAGTTTGCAAATTTCATGACCGAGTTGACGGGAAATTTTTCTGAATTTTTTAACTATCGTTTTTTTTGACGTGTTATAAAGGGGGGTGAAAAATAAAGTTTCAAAATTTGATTTTTTCAATGAGACACCAATCAGTGCCCGAGGAGGGGTCAAGGGCCGACCTGTTTTTAACGGAGTCGGGTTAAGGTGCATATTGAAATATTTGAATCGATTATCCTAAGGCCAAAACGCATTTACAAAAAGTACAACTTTTACTAATGCATTTTGCGATTCGTTCTGATAAATATCAAACTTCAATCAAAAGTACAACATCGTGTAGTCAAAACATTATTGCAAAATCCCGATACCATATGTGGCAATATTTTGCTATTATCAGTATACAAAATTTCTCTGTCATCCAGTGCACTATTCTTTTGCAAATTAATTATATTGTAGCATGACGATGTTGTTGATATTGGTTCTTACATGCATGTTGATGTATTTCATATTGACTTGAAGAATTTATAACATAATGTTACAATGTTCCACCTCCAATGTCCGACTAAAATGACAGGCACGATCTTTGAAAAACTATGTTTTGAATTATATTGCATATTTGAAAGTATTTCAATTTTAAAGATGCGAATTTTTTCTGTGTAGCCTCTACAGATGGGAGGAGTACCAGGATATCTGTTCAGGAAACGCCTGTATCATTGCACGATGCTCAATAATGGTATAGCTCAAATGTAAGATTTAATAAAACGATTACTTTGTTCTCCATCAAAACGACTGAAACAAAATCACATACACGTTTATATGATAGTTTATGAGAGGGATTATTTGAAGACATAAAAAAATGTGTATATCGAATGTTTGGAGGTGCTTGCATGAACATGAAGTTTTATCATCAAATTCTGTTTACTCTTGGATTCGAACTTGTTAAACCAGCACTGTGATGAATCTAAAAGGTTCTAAAACTGGTATTTCAAGACATTGAAACATGCACGCAAGTGTTGTGGATGCAATTAAGAGAAAAGACAAATCTATAAAGTTTTAATTCGATATGAAATTGAAACTTCGGGTACAATGGTAGAAACTTATTACCCAGTCCCAGCTATTGTATACGTATACACACAACTGCTTCCTAAAAATCCGTAAAAGGCATGCAGAGTTGCTACGGGTGTTGATGTCTATATGGCGGTTCCACTGTCATTTTAATGATTCGTAAATTATTGTGTTCATATTTGATATGAATGTTCTCTGTTTACAGTCGCAACTGACAAGGGAACTTTATTTTGAAAGTTTTCGTTGTTTTATCCAGTACTTTCAATGAAGATGTACAAAAATATTACATAATTGCTATAATAAAAATTTACAAAATTTAATGTACTTGCTTGCAAATTAAGAAAAAGACGATAGAATAATGCTGTAATAATGATATATAGCTATATATGTAAGCGTTTTTGAGTGACTCGGTATTTCGTGACAATGTATATTTTTTATGTAAGGGAGAAATAAAAGCACAAAATGTGACCAGTCACGCGCAACTTTCGATAGAAATTTACAAAATGTTATAATTATAAAGTAATTTGTCTGTAATTTCGAGTAATTTCAAACGCGTCATTTATTCCGCCAACGCGCTTGCGCAACGAAGTCTGACAGTGACCGAGTGAGAAATAACCTTAAAAAAGTATGGGTTACTATTAGTTCCACAAAGAATCTCAAATATTGCATTTTCAATAAGCGGTAAATTTCGATTGCGATCGTATTTTTACATTTAATATCAAATCCTATCATATTGATTTAAAGTAGATATCTCTTAAAATTTTGAGTACAACGGGGTTTAAGAACATTGTAACATTTAATTTTGAGTGGGTAAAAATGTTGAGGACTGTATGACCGGGTTCCACATGATACGATCAAAATTTTGATAACCCTTTAAATTTTGATAACACTTAAAAATTATTCCTTATATTGTATAATGTTGCCAAACATGCTACATATTATAGGCATGCTACTCTTATACTAGGTGTGTTTGTATCGCCGCAAGCGAATTGAATGTGAATTTTGTAAATATTACATATTTCATATACATTATTTTGGTAAGCCTAAAGAATTCAACTTCTCGGTTTATAGGTAATCTTTTTGTTCTTGAGTCATCATCCTAAATTCCACCATATTTTATTTGTTACAGTCAATATTCGTGACTGAGACGTGACGTATATACGCTAACTCGATCCGGTCTGATATTTAAAATTCATGAATTATTGAGTTGCAAGGAATAAAATAGACTAAAATTTCCATTCTTGTACTGAGTTATTGTATGTTTAAATCGGTTATGGGGAAAAGATATTAAATAAATCGGTTAAAACCTAAGATTATGCATTATATTATTTATTGTATGCCCATATATTCACTCATGTTAAACACCCAAGTAAAAATTAGATTTCTGATTGGATGAAAGTAATTTTATCGGTCACCGATATTGAGTTGAATGAGTACATTCAATAAAAATTTTGCTGAATATTTGAAATCT